CAACCTTTGTCCAACGGTTTGCACCTGTAGGAGGCTGTGCGTAAGGAATACCCTTATAGACGAAGGCTTTATCACCTCCGCGGAAGGGGGAGACACCGCCATGGATTGTACCGTAGTGAGTGTCAATAACTGGGGGACTTAGGGCAGAGGCGATGGACGAGCCGCAGGCTGCCACACCAGCGAGTGTGGAAAGCAGCTTCATGGTAGGTCTAAAGGAATGGATGAGATAGATCAAAGCGAAAGTCTGAAAACTGAAGAGAAAGACTGTGAGCTCAAATGTTATATAGATAGCACATGTTGCTATTAAATCGAAACATGGAAATACGTCCAGGGGATGATAACGCGGCCGCTGAGCAACGATCTGCCATCCATGTTTCCTTTTCAGAATAGAAAAGTGGTGATTACGATTCAGGTCCAACCCACATCTTCAGTAATACCTCTCAAATTTGAAAGTACTAGGGGCGAGACCTCGGACATAAATGTGGAGTTGCAGATCTGCCTCGGGGATACCGGGTTCCTATTCGGGGACGGGAGATCGTGAAACTATTAGAGCTCATGTAAAATAGTCGGAATGTACTTGAATATTTTGTTAGACAAATACAACCAATTTTACTACTAGACCATAACAAAAACCTCAGTTCTTGTTTAGGGCCTAGGGGGCCCATATCCCAGTCTGACGTATTTAGCTCTAAGATAAACCTAGCCCCCTTTTAAACCCCGAAGTAGAGCCTTAAGCGTAGTACTTTGGATCGATAGATTGCTAAAATCTGAGACGGCTTGTTTAAAGAGTACGTCAAAGTGGAGATGTTAACAATAGCATGTTTTGACCTTGGTAGTTGCAAGGATAGTTTAAACTACGTATACTATATAACAAAAATACTGTCTGACATGGCAGAAGCACTAGAATCAACGGTGAAAATTGCCCTGCTTAGTACTGGTGCAAAGTAGACATCCAGCGACGGAGGAAGCTGATGCGCTTCTTGGACGCGGCGATTGGAACCGCGCCGAAAGATTCACCCAGTTGCATAGCAGAGTAGTTGTTGGAGGACGGAGGGAAGTAGACCAAGCCTTCGCCGTTGGGGTTACCCGTGCGGATGAAGTTGGCCCAGTACTCTGAGATCACAGATTCAATCTTGTAGTCGGTGGCATTCCAAGTAACATTGGAGTAGTCCGAGTAAGGAATGTTATTGAAAGCATACCAGATCTCAGCACCGTGGTATGCGCCGCCCTCCTCATCCTCCGCAGGAGCCTTGGTGAAGTAGTACACGAAGACATCACTCTTCGCACCACCGGCGGCCCATTCGGCGGCCCACTCCCAAGTTCCAATGCGGGCCATATCGAGCAGTACAGCATCGCTGTTATCGCTAGCCTGAGTGTCTGTCTTGGCGGGGTAGAGGGAGAAGAACTCAGAGGAGTAGTTGCCGAACACCTTTGTCCACAGGGTCTTGTAATCGGAAACGGTGGAGGCGCCTCCATCATTCTCGTTCTTGTTGTTGCCAGTCATGATGGGGACATCGGCGTGGGCACCCAGATCCAAAGATTCGCCGTATCCATGACGGAACACGTAGCCATCAATAACAGGACGCCAGCGGGGAGGCCCAGACCAGAGGTCAGAGAAGGCAGTGCCGTCAAAGTAATCGTCTTCCATCAACTGGCCCTCTCCGATAAGGTCAGCCATAGGGAGCTTGCGGAGCTCAGCAATCGACGAAACATTCATAGTCTCGAGGAAAGTGACACCAAAGTCCTCAGCAACGTCCTTGGTGTTGTAGCTGGTAGCAACACTACCAGTGGCAGGATCATGAGGTCCACGAGCACCGCTCTCGGCAATTACACCGTGGATCAAACCGCTGCTGAGAGGACTCCACATCATGTCCAATGCACTGGCGGATCCCGCAGACTGACCACCGACAGTCACCTGGCTGGCATTTCCACCAAAGTGGGCAATGTTGTCTCGAACCCAGCGGAGAGCAAACTGCTGGTCCAAGATACCGTAATTTCCAGAGCTATTGTGTCCAGACTCGGTGGACAAGTCGGGGTGAGCAAGGAAGCCAAAAGCACCGAGACGGTAGTTCATAGTAACAACAATGATATCTTTAGAAGCAAGACCGGTTCCATCATAGGTGATGACATCTCCGGAGCCTCCTTCGAAACGGCCGCCGAAGATCCAAACGTAGACGGGGAGGTTTTTATTCTTAATCTCGGTAGCCGAGGTGGTGTCGTATGTAGGGGTCCAGATGTTCAGGGTCAAACAGTCTTCGCTGGTTGAGTTCTTCCCAGAAGAGAAGATACCGGCGTCAGAGTATGGCTGGGCACACTGGGGACCGAACTCAGTTGCGTGGAGCGTCTCAGTCCATGAGTCGGGCTTGGTGGGAGGAGTCCAACGCTTCGAGCCTGTGGGAGGTGCAGCATAAGGAATGCCCTTGTAGACAGTTACGCCGTCTCGGAAAGGCGATGATGCACCCTTGACAGGCCCATGGTTACTTTGGATGACGGGGAAACTGGCAGCTGCGGCGAGTGCCGGGGTGGCAAGGAGAATTTGAAGGAGGTTTAACATCGGACCTTTGAAGATATTCTCGATTGACTGTTCTGTAGGCTACAATTAATCAAGAGGCGATTCGCAGGACTCTATATAATCCATGAATATCAATCCAGCTCTAGGATCAGCCCTAGAACTCAAAATCGTTCCATGGAAAATCAATAATTACGTGGGCTATAGACGAAGCCCTCGTGGAGCTCATGCTGGACGACGAGTTCCTAAAGATGGAGCTGCCCCTAAATGTAAGAGGAGACCAATGGCTGTCTATTAGGCCGCGGCATGCGCCACGCGGCACTGCTAAAGAAGCATGTTTATTTGAGGTGCCGGTTGATCGACAGTGGATGTGCTCCAAAAATACCAAAAAGCGAAGGAGACTCGGACAAAGTCGAAAACGATATGCCGAATGTCCGAGATACACTAGCCCCAATATGAAAGTCCATGCCGAAGTAAATATCATCGGTTTCTTGGCCAATTAATACGACACTTCGATGTTGCACGAGATATTTCTGTCATAAGTCTTGATAACTCAAACCAGCCATTTGACTTATGATAATAATAATAACAATAATAATAATAAAGATCATTTAGAACGTTTCTTGCTTTCATAAACTACCAATCCCAAATAGGCAGTCGGACGCGCTATCGCGGAACCCACATTATCTACGCCCCGCTTTACATTAAATGGCGGGATCACATTTCCGCCCAACGCTTTCAAGTACAACACCCCAAATCCAGGCATGTCGACCCGCTCACACCAAGGCTGCTGGACGTGTAAACGACGGCGGCGTCGCTGTGATAATGCGCGCCCTTCTTGTCAAAATTGTGCCGAGCGTGGGGTTGTGTGCGAGGGCTATGAGGTTCGGCTAAGATGGGGTACGGGGATTGCATCGCGCGGTCATTTTACTGGTGCTGATAAACCGGTCAAGACTTCTGTGCCATCTAGACAGAAGGGAAGACAAAGGGATCTCATCAAGGAGAGAAAAGGGCGGGTGGAACTGGAGGGGGATTCCGGTTAGTGTGGTTTGTGAACCGGTAAGATCATTTAATATTGATTGGTCTGTAGCAGAAGCGAGTCCGGAGGTGGAACCAGCGGTTTCGCAAAGGGCAGTTGAGGATGAGGCTCTTTTTAACGAATGTGAGTTTGTAGCATGAAAACATTCGAGTACGGCGGGTTGCAACACTGACACTGATATCGAGTAGTCATGAATAATGGCTTTAACGTGCTTCACTCAACAAAAGCAAGAGATAGCATGCTTCATCCGCGTCTCCCACAGCTTTGTCAAGAATCCAGCGCCTTGTATTCTATCTGCATTGCATTCCAACTCGCACTATCCAGCACAAGCACCTCTCAGTTCTGCGAGTACTTCGACACCGCATTAAGGACCTTTCGATCAGAACTGGCGTGCAGCACAACCCTATCCGATGGAACGTTGACTTCGGGGTTGCTGCTGTGTAGCATTGGCGTGTGTAACCTCAACTTTTTTTCGCTTATCCTCTGGCTTAAGGTTCTAACACTGATTTGATCTCAGCTGATCCACGGCCTGCCCTGGACTATGCATTTGGAAGGTATGCACAAAATCTTGCAGAGCCATGGCCTCGATGATATGCACCACCATTCTACCCAAACAAAATTTCGTATCCACCTCCTCGAGGTGATGGGGGTATTGGATATGGCCTGCTTTTCTATCGGTCGCCGGGGTCCAGAGATTGGCATCTGGCGCCGATATTGCCAGCCCGCGGCACCCAGGTATGGCATTGAGCCTGTCAGCGGTCTTCCTCGTACACTACTTGATATCCTTGCCGGGATAGGCGCGGAGACCACGGAACAAACTCTTTGGGACTGGCCTGGCGAGTCAGGGAGCTTTTTACAGTGTTACCTGTGGGAGGCGCATCGACTGGCCGGTATCCTGACCGTCAGAAAACAAGCTAACTCGTCTTCTACTCCTATTCTCGACAATCTTTCGGCATGGCGGCAGCCTGAAAAGTGTCCAGCAGATACATCCGTTCTTGTTACGCGGATTCTGGCCAGCCTTGATGCTCTCCGTCTCGCGTCGATTGAGCGTCCAACCGAAGATGCTCATACCATAAATGCAATCGTGTTTCCTATGTTTGTCGCTGGATTGGAAGTCAGTATCATGTGTCACAAGCCAGAATGGCAACAAACCATTAGGAAGGCTCTGTTAGGATCTCATCAGTGTGAAACCCTTCTTAGTCTGTTGGAAGAGCTATGGCAGAAGGAAGATCCAAATCTGAGTGTGCATGAGTTGGCTCAACAAAAAGGCCTGGAGATGGGATTGATATGATTTATAGATGGATACAATTGTAAATATGCCACGACTGTATGTTAATCTGACTATGGGATATCCAAGCTATTTGTTAAAATTAGATCATCCGTATAGGCGCTTTAAGAGTGGACAAAAAGGAGCGAAGACTGAACCCACCTCCATCCTATGATATTGGAGCTCTACAGCATTAACTTTCCCGGATGCACCATGACCCAGTGCTTAAACACATGCTCTCCAGTTTGACTCGCATCATCCACCAGCTCAACTTCTTCGGCAACTCGAAACCCAAAGCTCTCGTAGAACGCCACGTTCTCCTTCCGGGTACATTCAAGATATATGTGGTCGCCGTGAACGTGTTCCAAAATCCATCTCATCACGCCCCCACCCAGCCCGCGTGATTGCAGTGAAGGATGCACAGCAACAACCTCAAGGTACCATAGCTTTTGTCGAGAGTACCTCGCTTCCAATAACTTCGAACAGGTTTCATGTCTGTCGAGGAGCATTTCAACGCGCTAAGAGAGTCGAGTCAACAAAGAACCAGGACCATAGGTAGCGCTTTGCTTACCTTATCTCTCGCTCCGCTATCATGTACTGGTACAAGACGATCTAATAACCACAACTTGCACGCAAGCCATATTCGCGATAGGGACCAGGGTTTTCGTCCCGGTGGTGGGTGCAGAAACACCACAGCACCAGCGTTGTCGTCTTTGTGCGAAGATGTTCCGGGCTGTTTTCCAGGCAATGTGGCAACAGCAGAGATGGGAGTGTCTGTCGATAATTTGTTTCTGCCATTCCCCGGATAATCTTCTGTCATTTGTTTAACGTTGGCAGAATTGAATACCTCCCCCTTGAGCATTATGCGCTGGATGCGACGATACTGCCAGCTCCATCTGCCCGTATCCTGTTCAGCCCACGGTGCAGCATTTGGCCTTAGCCAGTGGATCAAAGGATCAGAAGAGAAAGCGAGATGAACCGTTTGCGCGATGGCGGGAATAAGATACTCTACACCATTTGTCTTTTATCAGTTTCGCTGATCGCCACTTCCATAAGCATGGTCTATACTTAATTAAGAGAGAGGAAGATATAAAAGCCGTACCTTTGTGAACACGAAAGAGGTCAACCTTGACCAGCGGTTTGGCAGACATTTCCCAGGGACTTTGAGAGTGGCTATTGACAAGAACATAAAGAACAAAAATATACATGGTTATTAGTGATATAAAATTATTCCCAAGTTGGAAAGTACTAGCGGAGTCATGTCGAAAATACCAGACGTCCACCTACCGTATACAGTCTAGGTCTAGTCGGCTTGAGCCGGCGCTGCAACCCCTGCAACCCGATACATGCACCACTGTTATCGCAGCTTTCTAGCCCTAAATTGTGAGGGTTCATTTTTTGAGATGCCATTTTTCTCTCTAACTGCCGTGTAACTGGCTATAGCTCTGGCTGTTCATGTCCCCAATTTTCTCCTTTTGCTCTTGTTTTGAGAAAGCCTTTTTTTGGACTCTCTACCTTCTAGCACGTTATTTTATTACCAAACGATAAAGAGTATTCAACACCTAGCAGTTACATGCAAGAAGTTGTCCTTTTTATATCCCCAGGGCCAAGTATGAACGCACACTATTCCCAATCAGCAAGACTGACGCAACGGATAATCTGGGCGGAAAGAAACATCAGAAGATAAGCTGACCTCCATCAGCCCTTTGACAATCAGAATTCATTCTATCTCAGGGGTCTTTCTCTCCGCATCTGTGATGGATGTGCGAGTCCTGGATGTTATCCGGGTCACAGAACACGTGGCTTATCTCTCTGCCTGGATTCCTATATCCGTGGCATCGCTTGCACTGGGAGTGAAGAGATCAAAGTCTATCATGTGTAGCCACTAGAAGACATTCAGAACGAGCTGCGGGATGTTTATCAATTTAGAGAGCTTCTTGACTCTCATGGCTACAGAAGAACAAGCCACACAGCACCGCTAGCGTTCGCCCCATCAGACCATGGGGATCTTCAATGCCGTCCTTTTAGTTCTCTTCCTCATGTATGAGAAAACGAAACATGTCCCTGCGTTTATTGCGCAAGCCGGTCCTATCATTGAAGACGACCCAGAAATTGAAATAAAAGAAGATGGCCTGGTCAAATTTGACTCGGTACCTGCAGCCAAAGGCCTCTCTATCATTGATCAGGCTCGTTCCCACCATGTGCTGGACATTACCGTACCGCAGAACTCATGGCGCAAGCGAATTGCCCTGTAACACCAACATCAGAACCAATCTGGCCGCATTTCCACCGCCCCTTCTGCGTTCTCGTCTTTCCGGCCATGGCATTTGGCGCGTTTCAGTACGCAGCTGGAGTAGGCTGGCTGACAGCGATCTCCTGCATCTTGTCACGCGCATTCCCAGAGTCATCATACCTCTTCTCATCTGCACAAATGGGATACACCAACGTTAGTCCCCTGGTTGGGAACATCCTCGGTGTACTGTACAGCGGGTTCCTCGATGATCGGCCAAGTTTGTACTACGCAAAACAGAACCAGGGCTATTACGAGCCTGAGATGGGGTTGTACATCTTACATCTTCCGGCCGTTTTCATGGCAGGTGGCATTACTATGTTCGGTGCAACGATCTCTAGGGTAAGGTAACAACATTCACAATCAAAGTTTTCATTCGGGCTGAGGCTCTATTGATGAATGAGTGCTAACATTCTTATTTCTGGATTATATGGAATACACTGGATCTGACCCTACGTTGCAGGTGTCTTCTTCGGGTTTGGCCTCGGCAGTATTAGTGATAACTAGTTAATTAGTTACTGCATTGGCGTTAGTCATGGACAGTTACAGAGAGGCATGATTTGGCTGCTTTCAAAGCTATCTCGTTTCGAGATACATGATACGCCCTATATGATACATCTTTTGTTTCAAGTGAGCCGTTTGTATTAAAATTTGTTTCTAGGTCACCGGAGCGGTGACGTTTTCACTGTTGTGGCGTTCATGCGCAACGCAATTAGTATCGCAATTCCATTCGCGACCACCCCATGGATCCAGCGCAATGATATACAGAATATGTCCATATCATGAGGGATGATGGGTCTAGCTACTAATGGTATAATTATCCCAATGGTTATTTGGGGAAAGTCTGCCCGGCGCTCATTGACAAACCGGTATCTTGATATCGTAGAGGATTGCCATACTGTTTGACAGCTTGCTGTGTTACCTGGCTACGTCATGCCTGGATATTGCGTGTTTCTCTTCTCGCGGTGGGGATTTCCCACTGGAGGTTGGCGGATTCTGGCTGCCTGGGTTGAGATACTTGAGTTGTTGTGGCGGGCCATTTGGGAGTCGGGTGATATTGACCTATGTCCCCCGGGATGTCATTTGAATCAAGTATATTGATGATTATAGCTTTCATTGCATACTCGAAATGATAACCTGTATTTATTGACATTATGGCCATGACGTTGCGGCATTGGATGCCTTTCCTAAGAGATGACCTAGGTTGTACGAGATGATACGGTAGCTTTGGGGGTGCCTTGATATGGTGCATGATATGGGGTACAGGACACGTCCTTTTCACCAATTGCCACTATTAATAGGTTTCACATCCCTCGTTTAGCCTCGAGATAAAATTGAAGCCTGATCTGAAAGAGATTGCCGCCATATGAGAAAGCCCTAACCCTACCATATACACGACCACAGGACTAAGAATATGATTGTAAGACTGCATAAAAACAAATGTTTTCTTTTATTCAACCATCAAAGATGATAGGCTAAAGGGGAAAAAAAAGAATACCGCGTAGTCAGATAAGCGGAAAAATCAAAGCACTTGAAAATCTAATGTATAAAATCCCAAGAGGCAATCTAAAGATTCGCCTTGTGCAGGTCATCCTCAACCTCCTTCGGCAAGGCCGCCTCAGCAAATCTCTCCTCGGAAACAAGCAGCTGCTCAGGGAACCACGAAAGATCCGCACTGATCGTCTCACTCAGCGAAGCATCTCGTGCAAGCAACATGGTCGCCACCGCCTTGCCACCGAGCCAAGCCTGAACCATTCCCTCCCCACCAAACGCAGCACAAACCCACTCGGCCCCCTCAGACCCATGCTCAGACCGACCTGTCACAGCCCCAGGCAACTGTCCTACCCACGGGAGCCCGTCAGAGCTGAACGCCATGCTACCGGTCCACATTGCCTGCACGGGCTCGCCTTGCACGCAGCCCCAGTCTTTAGCTCCGAAGATGGCACGCAGGGCCCCAGACAAGTGGATATCAATGTAAAGACTAAGATCGGAGTCAGTTGAGATTCCCAGATCCGCTAGACCACCGGCCTCGGCCTGCGCAAAGCCTCCGCCGAGCATCACTTGCCCCTCCGGCAGCTGGGTCATGTAGTCGAATCCGCGGTCGTAGTTGAAGAGCCAGGAATGATTCGCTGCTTGGTTCGGGAAGTTGTCACCAGGGGTTTGAGCGGACATCTGTCCGCGCACGGGGAAGATTCGGCCCCGGAGGCCGGGGACCAGGTGGCTGACGTGGGCGTTGGTGCAGTGGATAACGTGTCGGGCGGTGATGGTGCCTCTGCTTGTCTGCACCTTGTATTTCGGGCCGTTGGTGGCAGTATAGTCATGGATAGCGGTCACGGGGGTATTTTCTTCCACGCGGAAGTCATCCGGGAAGTCGGCAAGGAGACGAGTAAGGATGCCAACGATGAATTTGTAGGGCCAGAGGGCGCCTGCAGGGCCGGAAATGACGCCTCGGGCACGAGTCAAACATAACTCCTAAAAAAGAACATTAGCGTAGGAATTTTAGGTGTCCGATATAAAATATCAACGTACCCTCGGGATAGCGTCTCCCTCATAAGATGTCCATTCAGCAGATTCTTCCGGCATCCCCTCCTTGAAACGGTTCATACGCTCCAACGCTGCCTTCCAATCCTCATCACCGAAGTAAACGCTCAGGAACTGAACCTTCCGTGCTTGTGTCTCAGTAGTGATGCCAAGCTCTTCTGCGACAGCAAGCATCTCCTGCAGATGGGCCAATCGGAAGCGGATAAGCTTGCGTGCGGCGTCCACGCCAAAGGCATCGGCAAACTCGCTGTACTCATCGGCTGACTCTAGGATGTGACCGCCATTGCGGCCGGTTGCGCCGCTGCAGACTGTGCGGGCTTCGAGCATGACAACAGATGGATGAGAGGTAGAAGAGGTATTTGCCGCACGGTTCTGAAGCAAAGTCCGCGCAATAGATGCTCCAGTAATGCCAGATCCGATGATAACAATATCAGCTTCATTGGGAAGAGGCTTTGCTGCTCCTTGGCTGAAGCTGTGGGGTCCCCGGGTCCAGAACGACGAAGTTGTCAAACTCTGGGGGAGGCCTGGGTCAGAGTAGATGCGGTTGAGAGCTTGCTGTCTAGCAGAGGCTGAGATCGAAGGGTCAGTCAGGATTTCTGTAGCGAAAGGCATGGTTGCTGAGATGTCAGAGCCACGGTACAGGGTAGAAATCTGTGTTGAGTGAAAGGAAGTCAAGGAAGAATAGTGTGTGGTGAGAATAAGTAGCAAATGGCAAGAGCACTAGATGACAAAACACGGGTCTTACGCGATATTCAGAAGATACGTATGAGACAAAATGGAAATCAAATAAAAATCAAATAAAAACACGAGGCTGAAGTAGTCCGGCCAATATCAGATCGCAAATAAGAAGTGACCTGCTGGACCTGCCTACCTCGGTACCTAAGACACTTCCCAGGGTTGACTATAAAATACTAAAAACACTAATTCACTAATGCATTCAGATAATGAGCTAATCTATGTACTACGTATGTCCAAGGTTTTCGACGAAAGTCACAACAGGATTTGCCGGAAGAATAGGAGATGGTCACCGCTGTGTAGACCGCCTCGGGCGTGGGCCGGTCTCCCAGTTTTTCATTTCCGTGGAGACCCCGGGGCACCTGCGCCCGGGGCCATCTGATAGAGTTAGATAATGCGCCGGTGGGTCAGCTTACTCGTTTGAGATTTGGAGATTGCGGGGCGTTTTAGAACACATCTGGAGGGCCGGCAATAGTAGAGAAGAGAACACACCTAGGAGATCCTAGATCTTTTTCTTGATGTCCTCGACTCCAAGCAGCTTATCATACCACTGTTTCACCCTCCACCACTATAGATTTCCACTGCACCGTCCGTACATCCAACAGCTACCACCTCGCTATCCGCCGCACAGTCTGTCCCCGGTCCAGGAACAAGGGACACCAAGTCTATCGATGATTATCCTAACGCTATTCCGCCTACGATAATATTCTAGAGAGGAATTATAGTTATTCCTACATTTCGCCTTGAGGTTAGACCTGGTCTGCACGGTTGGCGGAATAGGTTGGTGTGTCTCGGTATTATGTGCCGTGAGGGGGAAATCTGGATCGATGGGGTATTATCTGGGCAATTTGCTCCCGATATCAAGTCAAAAGATATTCTATCCAAGTAAATAAAATCAATATCCGATTTGATATTGGAGGGGGTTGGATAACCGACGGCAGATAGAGGGGGTTACATTGCCGATTCGAGAGTAGGAGATTTAGAGTCTACTATAGCCAATGTTCACACTACGACGTTACCTTCCTAATATCTGATAGGAGAACCCCGCAAAAACAACAGTAATGCAACTGAAACGATCAAACGCTATCGCGGACTCCTCCCGGTTCCAAGCTATCCCAAAGCGGCAGGTCGACACACACTTTAACCTGACCACACCAAGTGGGGAGTCAAGACGAGCGGAAAAAGCGGAGGTGGGAACATCTTCTAGCGGGTGAATTCCACGATGGCGAGCATGAAAAGTATATAAAAAATCATATAAAAAGGGAGATGGTCACAAACGTGAAATCACATGTATCCCATCTCCAAAATGGCATCCGAAGCATCCCTCAGCAACTGGCAAGACCTTGTTGCCACCAAGCGTCATGAATGCGAGCAGAAGATTCCTCGCGACTGGCTTCTAGGCGTTGACCAGCTTGCGCTCGCACAAGAAACCCCGCGTATACTGGATATTGATCTTCCTCGTCGTAGTGGTCTGCTCTCCGAAGTTGAATTGGACCTGACCGAGAATTATACCGCAAGCCAGCTGTTGGTCAAGTTAGCCTCGGGGCAGGTCAGTTCGGCGGTTGTTACAACGGCGTTTTGTAAGAGGGCTGCTATTGCGCAGCAGGTTGTGAGTACACTTTATTCAGGAGAGAATTAAAAAAAAAAGGAATGATCTTAACATATATTTGTGTAGATCTCGTGTCTCACAGAGACCTTCTTCCCCCAGGCGCTGGAGCGTGCTAAGTACCTAGATGAGTACCTCCAGCGGGAGGGAAAGCCCGTTGGTCCCTTACATGGTCTACCGATCAGCATAAAAGATAGTTTCTGCGTCGAGGGCGTGCAGTCAACAATAGGATATGTAGCATTTCTCGAGAACGAACCCGCGAAGACGAACTCAGCGCTAGTGAAGATGCTTCTGGAGCTTGGCGCGGTGCTATATGTGAAGACCAACATTCCACAAACTATGATGGTAAAAGCACCAAATGGCTCAGGCTGTGCTCAGAGCATAAAGCTAACAATCACCTAGACAGCAGACTCGGAGAACAACGTCTTCGGCCGCACCCTGAATCCACACAAAACAACCCTAACAGCGGGCGGATCCAGCGGCGGCGAGGGTGCACTAGTAGCCTTCCGGGGATCGATTCTGGGCGTGGGAACCGACATCGCCGGCTCGATTCGCATCCCCGCGCTATGCTGTGGCGTGTACGGCTTCAAGCCCACAGCCGACCGTATTCCCTTCGGTGGACAGGTCTCCGGCGCCGTGCAGGGGATCCCGGGACTTGTTCCAGTTGCAGGTCCACTGGCACATAGCATCGCCGATCTCAAACTGCTGATGAGTTCCGTTGTCGCAAACGGCCAGGCGTGGAAGTATGACTCTGCTGCCGTCGGGGTTCCCTGGCAAACCATCCCGTCTAGTATCAACGATAGCGAAAGCTTGACCATCGGTGTGCTTGCTGAGGATGACCATTTCCCGCTCCACCCGCCTGTAAAGAGGGCTCTAGATCGGGCTGTTGAGGCCTTGACGCGTGCAGGACATCGTATAATCCGACTTCGGGGTGATGATGAAGCACATAGTTTGGCATATGCGTCGCGCATTGCGTTTCAGTATTTTACCTATGGCCCACACAAGGATATCATCGCGGCCAGTGGCGAGCCCCTTGTAACTTCGGTTGCTAAGGCTGCGAGCCCGATGTCATCTGGTCCGTTCCCTGCTCAGAAAAATCTAGGGCCATTTGAGACTATCTTGGCGTTGCATGCCGCTCGCAAGCGGGTTCATGAGGCCTGGAGGCAGACATGGGTGGATCGGAAGCTTGATGTGATTCTGGCTCCTGGAGCTCAGAGCACAGCTGTGGGCCATGATACTTATGGATGGCCGCCTTATACGGTCATGTGGAATGTCTTGGATGTAAGTCTTTCTTTTTGTCTCTACTGTTGTCGCCTTGACTATCCAGGGTGTGCTAACTTCTATCAATCTAGTATCCGGCATGCATTATTCCATTTGGAAATGCGTCCAAAGAGCTTGATCCCGGGCCTATGACAACAAGCGATGATGCGCAGCCGGACTGTCAGTGAACTTGTCCCTTGTTATCGAATAGATTGCTGACAGATGCCAGATCTCCCCGATGAGGTAGATGGCGCTCCATGCGCAATCCAAGTCATCACGCCGCGCTTCCAGGATGAGAAGTGTCTGTGGGCAGCGGATATTATTGACCGGGCTCTGGCTGTTGATGGCATGTTACATGGTTGATGGCAATGTGTCTATCCCCGTAAGTCCCCCAAAATGGAAGTTTGGCCGGTTGGCTGCACTTGGGATATGCAGGGGTACCAGCTCCCTCGCGCTTGAAGTCATGGAAGTTTTTTTTTTCTTTTTTTTTTTCTTTCTTTTTTTCTTTTCTTTTCTTTTCTTTTCTTTTGCTTCTTAGAGATATTAAGTTCCACCAATGAGCCATTCAAGATCATACGAGTTCAGCGACAAAGAAATATCATTTGGCCCCGGCTGCTGCTCTGCAAGAAAATAAATTCAAAAGGTAGAATACATATGTGAACCGGTCCTATCCCGTTTGATATCTTAAGGTGTGTGGAAAGGACAAGCTTTTGGTACTTGAAAGAGAAAGAGAACAAGAACTACGGACTCGGGCTGTCGTCGTACCGTGGTCCTCCATCATTGCCACCATACCCAGCACCAGGCGTAGCAGCCATTCCACCCATTGCCGGAGTTGGCGCATCGAACGCCGCAGGGGTTGGAGCGTCATAGTCTCGCTTCGAGGGGCCACCGGGTGTGGGCGCGCTGAAAGCCCCACCGGGGGTGGGGGCACTTTCGGGCCATCCGCCAGGAGTTGGTGCACCAGGGGTCGGAGCAGCGTATACGCCGGGGGTAGGGGCGGAGTAGTTTCCACCAGGAGTTGGGGCATCGTCGAAATCACGCTGGTCTCTGCCGGCGGACATGCTGTTCCAGCCAGGAGTACGGCCTCCTGCGTTGGCCCCACTGGCGTTCCAGCCAGGAGTGCGGGATCCAGAGGCAAAAGCGTCGAAGCCGGAGCTGGAGTCGTATGGTGTCTTAGATCCCGAGGTCCAGGACGGGGTTCGGCTGCCAACTCCTCCATATGCGGTGCGGTTTCCTTCGTAAGGGTTCGCGGTACGAGAGCCGTCGTTCCTCCAGGCCGGGGTACGGCCGCCACTCACGCCACCCCAAGCGGGAGCTATATGATGATTAGTATCTTCGTCAACTTTTCCAATATGGGTGTACTTACTTCTGGCAGAAGCGCCATTCCAAGCGGGTGTTCTAGACGAATCAGCGGCCGCAATCGGTGTTCGACCACCGGCCCAACTATCTCTTCCAGGACCGCTTGAAGAAGTGTATGGAGTTCGCCCTCCGGGGCCACCTCCTCCTCTTCCACGGCCCATGGAGAGGGGCTGTTTGGAAACAGGACTGTAAAAGGTTAGGAAGACTGTGGATCAAACATAAGAGAGGGAGAACATACTCTTTAGGTGTCAGGATGTCGCGAGGGATATGTACGGGCTTGTTAGATGTGTAAAGTTCAACTTGAGCGGAGCTGTCGTCTGCGTCGCGGACAATACCGACAAGACCCTTATAACGACCCTTGCGGATAGTCACAGTCTTTCCGATCAGCTGGTCGCGGCCGCGACGAGGTGGTGGCATTGCAGCGCCGCCTCCAGGAGTCTGCATCGCCAGGGCAGGGTTCATCTTAGTGAGATCCGGTCCAGTGGGCCGACCGCCTCTGGCTGACACGGTAACAACATTCGTTGTTCGCACCACAGCGATACCGGCGTTCTCAGCTTGGGCCTTATTATGCAAGAAAAGGAACGAACGGTGGATATGGCGGATTACTCCACTGCGCTGCTCTCCGTAAACCTCGCGAACGGTATCACCACTTCGAATCTCTGCGCCATTGCGATCAGTAGCCACAGCATCGCGGCGGGGAGTAATCTTGTTTGCGATTTGCGTAGGAAGAATATTGCGGATAGAACCATTCTGGTCCACCACACGGAGAGACTCTCGGTCTACTTTGATAACACAAGCGACAGTGGCGGCATCAAGCTGGACGAGATCATGAACATCGTAGATACCGAGTTGTCCATCGGCAGCCATCTCAGCAGAAAGTCGAAGATCCTTGCTGAAAATTGTGATCTCCTGCATGCTCATATCGCTGAGCAGAGTGACAGTGTCGTCCTTGACCTGCACGACCATGCCCAGTTCGTTCTGGTATCGACTGCCGCCGATAACCTTGACGTGATCACCTTCCCTGAATCGTTTACGGAGAGTTCGAACCGGCGCATCAATTGTCTGACCGGCCAGCTCGCCCTCGGTAACTTGCAATGAAATAATGTCACCTCGAGTTGACACTGTGCGACCAATAAGACCCTGCTGTTCACCCCGGTAAACCTCCACTGGATCACCCGGTTGGTATGAATCCTCAGCGGTAGAGTTCTTCAGAGTCTCGGCCAGCGACGCCAGATCCAGATTGGCAGTTCCGTCTTCTCCTCCACGCGCGAACATTGTAACCTCCTCTAGTCGTGGGTTGACATTCTTGGCATTCAAGTGCTGGACACGCATATCCTTGATGAGGAACCCATCCACATAGTTGTCATTCAAGTAGTTCCATGATTTTCCGCCTAGACCAGAAGTAGACGAGAGATACTTTGCGTGCTTCTTTTTCGCCTCTGTCTCACTGAACAGGCGCTGGGGAGGGCGGACGGTGTTCACAGCACCGCGTTTGCGCTTAGCATCCGCAGAAGGGGCACCGAAAGCATCGTCATTCATGCCATAGTCCAGTCGGGGAACAAGTCTCACGGTGACATTCAATCCATTGGTTTCGACCTCCTCAATCTGGGCCAAATCGCCGAGGTATTTGCCACGCTTGATGCGAATCCAGCCACCAGGCAAAAGTTCTTCCGATTTCTGGACACGAAGAAGATCTGGCATCTCCTTCACTGGAACCAGAGTCAGTTTCTGGGATGGGTAGTAGAAGTTGATGGCCTCGAGGCCTTCGATAACATCGGCCTGCCTGCGCGCTTCACAGTAGAACCAGCCCTGCATAATGTTTCCGCGCTCGAAAGCCGAGATAATTCGAATGGGGTTGCGGGAGCCTGCTGGGCGCTCTTCAATTCGTTTTTGGATTGAATATACGACCTCTTTCTCCTTGCCAGGCTTGCAGCGGCCACCCCAAATGCTGGGATCTTCCACACTGGGAAGCAGCAGTCGTTTTGGGATCACAAGGGAATCTGTTGCGGCAGCACGGTTGCGTCCATATCGCTCCTTGAGCATCTGGGCCTGCTTCTCTGCGTCCATACTGGCGTCAATCTCGCGCTGGCGATCCAACTGTCGATGGCGGCGGTCGTCCGTCTCGGTGCCTTGGGGCAGCGCATCAAGATCATCCGGATGTGTTTCCATGCCATATTCGGCGAGTTCATCTTCCTCATCATCGGCCTCGTCCTCCTCATCATCGACGCCGGCCTCGTCTTCGATGAAAGGATTGGCAGCGCGCTTCATTCGCTTTTGTGGACGTGCCTAAAATAGAGACTATGGGTTAATTAAGTGCTCGTGAACTACCAGGTCTCCATGGAGAACATACCACATCCTCTTCCTCATCATCCTCCTCCTCCTCGTCTTCATCGTCCAACTCATTCTCCTCGTCGTCATCCTCGACATCCTTGGCATCTTCCTCATGTGCATGTGCGTCGCGAGGGTACTTCACATCATCCTCCTCCTCCTCATCGGCACCATCGCCACCGTCGTGTTCATTCTTGGCTGGCTGTTTCGCGCCCATTTGTTAGCGCTTTATCCATTGAGGCTTGGGACGAATCTGTAGACGGACCTTGGCTCTGGGCTCCTCTACATCAGACTCTTCTTGGGGAGCAGGGTTGAAATCATCCTCCTCGTCCTCGGACCCGAAGTCGTGGTTGAGAAAGTTTGACATTGTGGTAGATAGTGTCTAACGCGCTATTGTAGATGATCCAGTCGCCACTTTTGGCAAGTCGTAATTTGAAGTTGAGACACAGTGAGATTCCTATTGATCATCAGGAGAATCAGCAACTGAAATGACAAAGAGAACATGGGAGAAGCAAGACATACCGTATCTAAGGAAACCGCGCTACAACTTGCGGGTTGGGAGACAAAACGTAGACGAACAGGATGCGAACAGCCCGATATTTTCCGAATGACAGCCAATTCCGAGTAGGATTGAGTGAAATGAGGCTGATTCAGACGAGAGAAAAGCGACTGGAAAGATAAGAGGGAGCACAGCAGACAGTCGAGCTCTGCGGGCAATCACCGAGTTCCGCGACCGCCTACAAAGAACACGGATCGGAATGGGGATCTCGGGGTTAGGAAGAAGAGACAACCACACCACAATGCAGGCGCAATTTATAGCACTGCTTGTAAGGGGTAGTTTGAGAAAGGGCAAATGAGGAATTGAAGTGACGAAGCGTGGAGGTCGTGTTGCTCAGAGGCATAATCCTTGCGTAACCGGTCGCTGTGGCGCGCCGTATTTGGCCGCCTTGGAGCCTGGCGTTTCTCAACTTCCATCCTTCGCGAAGACCTCGAAAGCTTGAAGAGCATACATCATATCACTAAGTTAATGAAGAAGCTATGATTATTCTGTTTCCATTTGGATACACCCATATATATATTATTTCCAACAGTTTACGAATTGAAATGCAAACCCTGCCAGATGTACAAGATCAAGTAGGATTGATTAGAGAACCAGGACAAACTACAATGTCCTCGCAAGTACACTGCTGCGAGTGAATGTCCCGATCAATCTATTTTCTTACCTTGAGCTAACACACGGTATGAGGACTCATCGACCAAGGAGACAAAAGAAAAATCGAGTGATGCTTGCAAACAACAACCTCGGAAAGAATGAACCCCATAAGGAGCAGGGGAAAGGATCGTACATACATCCAAGTAGGTCAGTGACCAAATTAGCCTTGTATTGTTTGACTTCGAGTATACTCCCTCGAGGACGCTTGAAGCTCCTAATCAGAATCATCCCAAACATCCGAACTTAAATCTTTCACCAGAAAATTCAACCTAAGAATCGTACAATACTGAATGAGCCAATTCCGCTGTTCAGACAGCCCCCATGTATCCCAGAATGGCTCGAGTCTGTTATTCAGCGCTCTGGTTTTAGCCGAAGTGAGGGAGCGCAGGAGGGCCATCTGTTGAGCTCTCTCACGGCCTGGCTCCTTATGATCTTCTAACCTTCGGTACATATCTCGATAATTCTTGATAATCAACCAATACAAACCCTTGATCATAGAAATATCCCAGTAAAATTTCTGGTCGACATGACGCAAAAGCCTTTTGAAAATGGCATCGCAATGTGGCCGCAGGTTATGGGCTGCTACTTGTAACGCATAAGCACCTGCGGTCTCATCGCCCTCGGTATCCTGGGAACTTCGGACCCGTCCCGCCATGGGGTCACAGTGTTGACAGAACCAATCAATGCCTGCTGGCTCGCCTCCTCTTGCACCTACTACTAGAGCAGTCTCACCGGTGTCGCGGTCGAAGTCCGTCCGACACCCTGGCTGGGTATACGAGTGATCCAATAGCCAGTCAAGGATTCGTGGGCCTTGGGGGTTCTCGATTGCTCGGTGCCAGATGGTTCGAGAGGTGGCATGGAGTTCGATTGGATTGACTCCAATAGCATCATATGGAATCGAGTTTGGGTCGAGCTTGTCATTGTCGGGGTCGAAGTCTTCGCCCCGGGTGATAGGATCACCGTATTCTGCATCGCGGTTCCACTCCTCGCCGGAGTCGTACTCAGGGTTATCCTCGTCGGGCAGATACATTGGAAGTGTATTTCTCGGGAGCTTAGTGATATTGAACCCCTTCGACAAGAGCCGTTCGGCCATTTCGGCAGTGATGAAGCTGCACAGTTCGAGCTTGAGGCCGTCATCGTTCCACACAGACAGAGGGTAGCCTGCATCTTCTAGAAACTCGATGACTCCTCTAAAGACGTCATTGTCGTGCATCAAAGCGACGTGGTGGGGAATCGACATTCCATCGATAGACGTGGGAAAGTGCCGAGGATCCAGTTCTCCTTTCAGCAAGATAGCGACAATGAACATTACACTTTCGGCATCTCCGCCCTCAATGGCTGCATGGAGGAAGCTCCTGCCATTTTGGTCGTAGTTCCTGAAATCAATCAACCCAAGATTGCCGAGAAGTGAGAGACAGCTTGTACATTGACATTCTTTCACAAATTCATACGCATAGTTAAAACCAACACCGCCTCTGCTAGCTTTGTAGCCCGCAATCTCGTCTCTGCATTGGTACGCGGGTTTGAAGCTGTAGTAGTTCATCCATGGCTTGAAAACTTGTTCAAGTGTGCTTTGAGCTGGTTCAGATCTCAACCATGTTTCCACATGCTTTCGGTGCATAGAGGATGCTTCAGCGAATTCATGCAGAGCATGAAGGTCCTCGGGGGTTGGAAGTTTTGTATCAACATGTAGCAGCATAGGGAGGACCAGAAGCAGTAGGTTTTCAGGCATGGTCGTAAGATCCATGGAATAGGCTATGCTCCGTAGGAACTCGTGGCTAACTTCATCGGTATCATTTGAGCTAAGACTTGACAGGAGGTCAGTTGGAGCAGTCCCAGAGCCAGTGAAGTCGTCTTCGTTCTCTTGGAATTCGCGCATTCGTCGAGCCACCAGATTGGCAAGTATGAGCGATGTGGCGGAATGCTCATCAGATACAACTTGAACCATTCCATCGATATCACTTGTAATATCATATGCACTGTCGTTCATATCAAACGATCGTAAAGACATCGTGAAGGGTTGGCAGATAATTTTCAAGGAAAGGTGTAGGCACAAATAACTTGCCTCAAGAGTCCTAAATAGGCAGATGGGCACCTCTCGACGTTATATTTCCGCATCGAATTCCCGGCTTTTGACTCGAAAGGAAGCCAGCTCACCACATTTACCTAATAATAGATTGGCATCAAAGAACTTCGAACACAATTTTAACGGTTCTCAGGGTTATCCTGATCACAGCTCGAATCCCATCAAAGAAAATGAGAATAAAGGAGTGAAATCGAAAGAGATTCGGCGGGCTGAACATGAAACTTGGACCCTCGAGCATAAGTTGACTCGTCTGAACAAAGATGAGATTTCGGGACATGGAGATCGTAACATTTCCCATTCCTCTGGGGGATTTTTTGATGCTTTTCGTTATCAGCCATGGCCATGATTCTTCTTGCCAACGTAATGGGCGGCTAATATCGCAAACTATGGAGATACCAGGAGTTTAGCTATGACTGAGAATGAGTTATATGCAGGGAATATTCAAAAGGCGGCGACGTACACCGTAAATCGTGAAATATACCAAAAAAAGGCCAATGTAATGTTATCGTACAAGGCAGATCAGATCATAGCAATATAAAATAGATGTCGTCACAGACAACAGGATATCTAGCCGAAAGCAGCAAAAGAAATGAATCAAAATGGGCATGCTCTACCGCCGCAATCGAAAAACACCAGGAAATGCTCTATAGCTTCATGCCAAACATGCCGTGAACACGCAAACTCTGGCGCATACTCAAATCAAGCATAATCTCCTCGCTACCGCCGGGGATAGCATAGGCACGCACATCACGGTACAGTCTCTCAATCTTACCGCCCTGACCGCCACGGCTGTAACTCAAACCACCGAAGATCTGACTAGCCTCACGAGCGCAGAACTCAAAGCATTGCGTAGACTGCGCCTTCAATCCGGCTATGGCACCACCAAGCTTAAGCATAGCCTCAGTTTCCTCCATGGACTGACACTGGAAGATGATGTTCTCGAGCCAGTTGTAGGTGGCCTCAATCTGGCGGGCCATATGGGCGAGTTTCATACGAATAACAGGGTGATCGATGAGACGCTTGCCGAACGTCTTGCGCTTGTGTGCGTATTTCACAGACTCCTCATAACAGACACGCGAGAAGCGCACACACTGAATCACGATGCCGATGCGCTCGTGGTTGAAGTTGGTCATGATAACCTTGAAGCCTTGGTTCTCCTTGCCGATGAGGTTCTCCACGGGCACCTTGACGTCCTCAAAGGTGACGTAGGTCGTGCCGCTAGACCATACACCCTGGCAGTCCATGCGGCGGGTGCTGACACCGCCGGCTTCGCGTTCGATGAGCAGCACGCTGAGGCCGTTCATCCCGTCCTTGCCGGTGCGCACGGCGGTGGTGAAGTAATCAGAGTAGATACCGTTAGTGATCCACTTCTTCTCGCCATTGACGATATAGTGCTTGCCGTCCTCAGTGAGCTTAGCCTCGCAACCCAAGTTTGCGACGTCACTCCCCGCATCGGGCTCGGTGATAGCGAGGCAGATGCGCTTGTCGCCGGCCAAGATACCTGGCAGGATTCGGTCGACCAGCGGTTTCTTGCCGAACTTTACCAAAGGCGGGCAGCCAATTCCATAGCCACCGATCAGGCTCCACACAAGACCACCGCTGCCGGCACGCGACAGCTCGTCGGTCAGCAGCATCTCGTGGAACAGGTCCCAGCGATCTGGTGACACAGACTTCACGCGATACGGGGTGTGCTTCTCGGGGAAGTGGACACCCAGCAGTCCGGCCAGGTAGCCGCGCTCACCCATCTGCTTGTAAATGTGGCCAGGAACTTCCTTGGCCTCGTCCCATTCGGTCACATTTGGTTCGATCTCGGACTCGACCCACTGGCGGACCTCGTCTCTCAGTGCGGCGTGGGATTCATTAAAGTAAGGGGATGCATACTATGAGCGACATATATATTAGCCTCTGTGTAACTGTAACCTCACAAGTATGTGACAGGTAGTAAACGCAAAACTTACACCTTGGTACCATGAGGGATCGGCGAAAGGGATCAACTCTCCATAAGGGTCCTGGGGCTCGCCGGTGGCAGGCGGTGTCACGGAAGACGAAGAGGCGGTAGGCGTCGGCTCGGGGGCCGCCTTCTTCGGGGCCGGCGCTGGTGCTGGAGGTGCCGGTGCCGTCTTCTTCGTATCCAACGAACCGATCTGCAGCTGACCTTTGTACTTCTTCAAAACGCCTTCGTTGTGGTACTTCCAGAACTGTTTTGAAGCATCCTTTCCGGCAACTCGCTGGAGAACTAGACATACACTGTCAATATAGATTTATTGGGCGTAGCGGATACTCTCGGACCAACGTACTCTTTTTTCCACCTGTTCAAAAAAAAAGGAATGTTAGCATGTGATCCCCATCCACCTGCACACATGACTTCACTCACCAGGGTGCTCGTCTTGGAACTTGGAAACATCGTAGACGTCTTCGTCGATGATGACCCAGGGACTGTCGCCCTTACTATGCGAGGCGACGTCCTCTTTGCTGAATGTCTTTGCCATGGTGGCGATGGGTGAAAAGGGATGAAGGCAAAATGCACACAACAAAGATTTATATTATGGCCAAGGAACAGTAGTAGGAGAGAAGAAAATTCCAATTCCGGGGAAGCTGGGGAATATATGAGTTATGGGGCAAGAAATAATTTCCGCTTAAGTTCGGGTGATATTCCAAGTCTGGTCATGAAGATGCACCAAAAGGGGCCTCGGAGCATTACAGTACCAGTTCACATGCTCCCACACAACGTATACCTTGGGACCTTAAAACATACGTTGTAGCGGTCGGTGCTTCATTGGCTGCTGATCATCTCGGTCATCGGCGTTGACAGACAGTTCATTGGCTCGTGCTGCGTCATTACAACAGTGCCGAGGCATCACAGCCTTCTGCAGGTCAGTGGATTGCTGAGTCAGAATCAGTAGTCGGCTCCGGGTAGGGCCGAGACATGTGAACATGTGAAGTATCGGCCAGTTTGCGATTGGATTATATTCCATATAGACTACAATTCCGAGGATATCTCGACACAGTTATAGAAATTGTAAAATGTAACTCTTATATAGGAGAATAACTACTTTGTGCAACAAAGTCTAGTTCGTGGTTTCGTGATGTACCTCTCGCATGCATGTGCAAGTACTACATCCAAAACCCTTGCGCATCAAGCCAGTCCAAGTCTAACTGGTGGGTTCAAATCAAGGCGAGGCGGCAGTGGGCCTCCTGACGAGTACGTACAATACGAAAAGAATGCAGGGTAGTTTAAAGTAACATAGGAAACTTTCATATCAATCACAGTGACGGAAGCTATACTAGCCCCCAAATAGATCACGTCGGCGTAGACAGCCTGATTAGTCTAGTAATACATCCAGCATCAAGATTCTATGCCGCATCAGTCCTCTACTGATCTTCACCATCTGACTCGTACGAGAACTCATCCGGGACGGGTGCATCTTCCACGCCTTCTTCGTCCTCATCAACCGCAGTCAGAACACCGGCACCAGCCGCAGCACCACCTGTGGCAGCGGATAGAGCAGCCCGAGCATCAGCCCGTTGAGGGGTCTGCAGAGCAGCGGTTCCGATGGCGGCCTGCAGGCGATCCTGGAGGGTTTCGGTCGGAGGAGGCGCTTGGCGAGCGTCTTTGCTGGCCTTCAATTCAATAACCTCGCGAGGCTCGTGGGGCTGCTTGTCGAGAACAACGACAACACCGCCAGTGGGCTGCAATTTGTTAGCATTGGATTCATTGGGACAAATAGGAATGAACATACCCTCTTGACCGGCTCGTACCGCGGATCGGGGAAAGTGAGGTACTTGAGCTGAGCTGGAAGTACCCTTGACAGGTTGTCCAGCTCGTACCCAACCTTCTCCCGCTCGGCCTTCTTCTTCTGCACCTCGGCCACACCCTTCTCTGTCTCCTTGGCTTCTTCCTCCTCCTTAGCAACATCGTCTGTGTCCATTGTATCCAGCTGATCGGTAGCCTTAGGTGTTGTGGGCGCTTGGTCAATGTCCATGCTCTCACGGCGTGCTTGCTTCTCCCGACGCTGCGCGCGACGCTTGGCCTGGGCAGTGGTAGAAAGAACGGCAGTCTTCACCTTCTCCGGGGCCTCCTCGGTCTTCACCTGTTGCTCAGGGGGATAGTCGAAGAGACTGGGGCGGGTATTGCTGTGGAACTTGAAGTGTGGCACCTCGAGCTTCTGGTCGACACCGATCACGGATGTGGGGTTGAAGCTAAGCGACAAGAAGTGTGTGAGAGGGAACCAGTACCAGTACTGCACGAAGACCGCAACACCAACGATACCGGGCATGTTGAGGTTACCCGTCTGCGTCTGCAAGCTAATAGTGCAGTTTCGGCCACCAGCATCAATGATACCAAGGGCAATGGCACAACCGAACTTAGCCATAGCATCCTCGTGACGGTCACCAAGCATCTTCATCATGGCCTTGCGGAGGCTGGTAACACGGGGGTTCATGGCTTCGTTCTGCTGGACGAGGACCATGGCAAGGGAAATCAAAGCACCCTGACGGACAAAGTCGGTGGAGTCCTTAAGCATAGGCTCCAGGAGGTCGATGGCTTCGTCCAAGCCGGTGCCGGCGCAGGAGATACCGAGTGCCATGGCGGCACCGTATCGGACGTGAGGGTTGTATGACTCGGAAAGCAGCTCGACCATGCGAGGAACACTCTGGTGCTTGCGGAACAAGATGAATCCCAAGCTGAGCACGGCAACTCGGCGCACATCGTCGTTAACATCACTGACAGCGACGTGCAGAAGCTTGCGGACTGCCTTGTTGCTGCCAGTGCCACAGTAAGCCAGGGCAATGGTCATGATACCACCGTAGCGCAGAGTTGGGTCGGGGTCACCGAGGAGACCATTGATGAGCTCGTCGGCAGCTTCCTGGCGTCCAAACATGATCAAAGCCATACCCATAGCCAGACCACGAACGATCTTCTCGTGCTGCGTGTCGTGTGCGTACTGGATCATGTCCTCAAGAGCCTTCATGTTACCGGTGCCAAGCATGATGAGACCCATGGCGAGACCGACAGCCTCACCATTGAGAGCGGAATCAGTGTAGAGAACGCTCCGCAGGTCTTCATAAATGCCCTCGTCGCCTGTCGCCATACCAGCAACACCGAGACCAAGAGCACCACCGTGCTGAACCACCTCTTCCGTAGCCTTCTTGAAGTGATCGCGAATGATGTCAACTGCCATACCACCGTGGTTGGCATAGATGAGACCGAAGGCATAGAGGGAACCACCTTGGCTGTAGACAGATCCTGAGCCTCCAACTCCAGCGATGTGCTCGCGGGGCAGGTAAGGCTGGAGGAGCTTCTGGCCCTGGCTGAGGTTGCCGCGGTGGATACAACCCAATGCAGCAGTGGCTGTGAATTTGGACCAATTGACGGCCTTTCCGAGCCACTCTAGGTTGTCGCGGAAGAACTTATCGTGGGTGGTTCCCGCATGCATGAACGCATTTGAAAGTGTCACAGCAGTGTGGAAGATAGAATTGCGAGCCTCAAGGCTGTCACGAATCTTGTTCAGAATTGCGATATCAGCCTTGTTGTTTCTGTATAAGAACTCCAGATTCAACTGGATGGTCTTGATTCCATCGAGAATTGAGAGAATGTTCTTGAATGCAGTCACCGCATCCTCTGATAGATCTGAATGTTTATCCGAGGTTCGGGAAGAGCTTCCCTGGTCCTCGAGTAATGCGTCAGACTCTCTTGGCTCGTTGTCCTCTTCATTGTTCTCCTTCTCCGCCTCGTTTTCGGGGACAAGCTCAGCAATCTCTTGTCGAACCTTCTGAAGGAACTCTTGGGTGCTGTTGTCGTAAAGGTCGAAGGAAATTTGATAAGCAACGGCGAGGGATCGCGCATCTCCCTTTTCAACAAGCTGACGGAGAATGGCGGAGGCCATCGAGTGTTCATTAAGGTAGACAACGCATTTGGCGATCGAGAAGAAGTCGGGTGCCGGGATTTCATTAAGAAGTTCCAAAATTAGTTTGAGGATCTAGGAAATTAAGACTTGGTTAGTCGGCCCGGGCAAATGTTGTAGAAATCTTTAGGGAACACAAACCTCGCTGCGGAAGGCTCGTTCTTGGACAATCCCCATGCAGATGTCTAGGACATATTCCATGAGCTCCTCGCTGCCACGGGAGTCGCCCTCCTCCTGCTTCTCGTCGCTGCTGGCGCGAAGGATAGCCATGCGGAGCACATCCAGGTTCTTTGCCTCGATGGCGATTCCAATGACCTGACGGTATCGCTTTTGTCGGAAGCATGCTTCAAACAATCGCTCAATAACGGTCTTCAATTGACTCTGGACACCGCGCTTCAACACAAGGGAGTTTTCCTCGTGCTGAGCGCTAGTGTCATCGCCACCAGGGTGTGCAGCGTCCACGCCGGGAACCTCCGCGCGAGAAAGCAACGATTTCGAGGGCAGTGCGGATTTGGAGAAAGGTGTGATAGGAGAAGTGAGGCTGGCGGATGTGCTGGTGGCACCGTCGCCCGATGCAGGGAATGCAGTGTTCAGATTAGCTGGTTGGTCACCTGCGGTAGGCCGTTGGGCAGCAGACAGAGAGACGAAGGTATCAACGCATTTTGCTGGAGGAAACATGTTAGTATCAAAGATAGTCAATGCCGCGGATCTTCTTCAGCATACCGATAATGGTCTCCTCATACTCGCCGCCGTTTTCCAACTTGAACAGCTTTCCAGCGCCTAGAGCAAGAACCATGCTCTCATTATATTCCTGCAGATGATAATATACCTTTGATGCGACTAGTGCTGCAAGGCCACGTTCTGGAAATGATTCATCTTCGTAGAGAGCCTCACTGGATGGATAGTCAGCAAAGGCCTAGTAGCCGGTCGGACTCGGGAGAGATGACGCAACAATCGAGATGAAGCTCATTCTCACATCAAAACAAACTCACATTTCAGGAACAGAGTTGACAACCTCTGTCCAGAGATGATCAATCTGAGAATCTAATGTCTTCAAAGCAAAGACCTTGAGCTCTGGGTCAGGCTCGGAGAGGAAGCCAACCAAACCGGCGGCCGATACGAGTCCGACCATCTTTATTGAAAAACGATTCGCGTCACGATTTGTTGGACAGAGTTGGAGGAGTGATAGGTGTTTTGTTGCTGTTGGGATGAAGCAACGTCAATCGGGAGAGAGCTTGAAATAGCGAATCAGCCCCAGCGCAGAACAAGGTTTCAAGGGGGAATCAGTCACCCCAAATAATGAGAATATGACAAGAAAGACAAAAGTTGATTAAATAAAAGAAACGAAATGGATGAAGTGCACGTACGAATGGAAGCAGGGAGCAGTTGTCAGAAGCTTTGCTGGCGCGAGAGCAACGTCAACGCCTGAGCGGAGCTGACTGTACATGAAGGATCACGTGGATGGTGCTCGGTCAGCTGCGAGCGGCCCCCGTCCGCGGTAAACAGCTCATCAGCTGGCGAATGAATTATTTCTTTCTAATCCGGTGATGGTTTTAAGAATAGGTCAGATCTTGGACTGGAACTACTAAATAGTCCTCCTACCCAGGATTCCCACAATAAAGCTCCAACTCTTCCTCTGGTCGAAGCTTGGCCCTCCACCCTCCTTTCTCTGTCATGTCAACGCTTCTTCAACAATCTTTTCGTGGTAAGAGGCTGCCGCCTGTGCCGGTTGGAGCTTCTACATACCACCATGACCCTCTCTTATACGTTGAACGTCAGACGAAACACATACAACGCAATCTCCAAGTCCTGATCGATGCTCAAAGCGAAGGCCTTCTCTCTGTCCTCGCTGGGCCTCAAGCAGATGATATCTCAACCGGAACTTTAACTCCAACATTGTCATCTAATGCGAGTCGACCACAATCCCCTCCCACAGTGCCCACTAGGCAGCCCGCGCCCAAGAAGATCGGGCTTCGGGCTGCCCGAGAGGGCATATTTCAATCAATATATGATCTGCTGAAGTTACGAGAAGAAGAACGAGAGATTCTCGTATCTCAAACCGATGAAAGGGACAACGCATTGCAAGATATCCAAGGCTTCCTGTCGAGAAGAACAGGTTTAGAAGATGCTATTCAAACTATACATGGAGATGAGGAGAGCCGACGTTCAAAGCAACTAGAAGAAGAGGCTCGGAACCTTGAGACTGACATTCATGAATTGGAGACCAGGCTGTATGAGATGAAAGCTAAACATCGACATCTTGTGAACGAGATTTCAGACATCAACAACTCGGTCGATGCCAAGCTTTCTTCTTATACCGAATCTTTGTCTTTGCTCGACTCCGACATCCGAAACTACCTCCGTGACCCTCCGATCCAACCGTTATCGCAAAACTCAGGCGAATCCACCTTTCACTCTTTGAACCCTAAACGCCGCACACTTGACATGGCCCGGGAGCATTGGAACACCGAACAAGTCGGTTTGCACAGTAGGCAAGAGAAAGTGGATGCGGAAATACTGGCACTGGAAGAAGGAGGCGGAGTATGGAAACAAGCGGTGTCCGATGTCACTAGTTTTGAGAAGCGCTTACAATCCAACATGCGACATTATGTCGAGATGACCACATCAACGACCGAGTCAGGAGGATCCACACCGCCAGGTTACAAAGATGGACTCGTAAGGAGTATTCTGGATGACTTGGAGAGAACCACTCACCGGATCGAATCACATCTAGAGCTCGCCGAGGATAAGGACTGGAAGCTATTAGTTTGCTGCATTGCAGCCGAGCTAGAGGCCCTGCGAGAGGCAAGGAGCTTGCTTCTTCCCGCCTTCGGCCTCCCGCTTCATGAAGAGGATGCACCCGTGAACTCTACTTTTCCCAAAGATTCTCCCCTGATCGAGCACAGCTTGGAGGAGAGCCATGAGGACTCCCGCGCTGGGCAGCTGGAAAATGACGACCCAGAACCTCCAGCCGATCTGCTCAAAGATGCAGATCCCCATCATTTGGATGCTAGGTCGGATTCCAGGTCGGATGAAGACGATGAGCCAGATCCGTCATGGTTGACCTGATCAGTCCACTTAGAACATATTTAAATGATTATCAATAACAACTCAAATCTATACGATCTACATAGCATCTTCCCGCCGAGTGGTAATCTCATCTTTTGGCCATGTAAATGAATTTCTAGTCTTGTCTTATTGTAATTATTGATAAATCCGATCACTATATTTCTCGCTATATACCCGTATTTCTCATATTTTGCTCTAGGCGATGTTCAAAATGTATCTGGTAGTTGGTTCGGATTATTGGGGTTGGCGGAACACCGAAACCTCGCCTCACCCTCGACCTCTTCCTATTAACATCGAAGTGTAAGCATTGCATTTCAAAACAAAGAAATATGAAATAAATTAGACCCGGCCATGGATCTTCCATCAGCACGCTTCTCTTTTTTCCTCCCGTCTGTTTATGATGGCACCAAACTCGAATGTCGCATTTATCTCCCGTCCGCGCTCCAAAATATAGAATCAGCAACAACCTGGCCCAACCGCGGTGCTATTGTCGCACATCCCTACGCAACTCTAGGAGGATGCTACGATGATCCAGTCGTCAATTTCATTGGCAGTGAGCTTCTACAAGCCGGCTGCGTCGTGGGGACCTTCAACTTTCGGTATAATCATACGTTGCTAACACTCTGCGATGACCAAGTTGCTAACGAATGATATGTAGTGGAGCTGGAGACTCTGAGGGACGAACAAGCTGGACTGCAAAACCAGAACTTGGTGATTATGTGTCGTTCTACGGATTCATGTTGCAATATCTGCACTTCCTCCATCTCGCATTGACCCCAAGGGAGGAAGTAGACTCCTCAAAGCCCCGCAAAGTCATCGACGGAGTGAAAAATAACACAGATATTCATCTCATTCTTGGTGGCTATTCTTATGGGTCATTGATTGCCTCAAATGTACCGACCCTCGATACTATGCTCAGCCTTTTCCAATCCACGCCAACTACAACCCCTACAAACGAATCAACACCAATACACGAGATTAGGAGCACAGCAAAACGCATAGCCGCATTGTCCCTAGAGCAACTTCAAATGAGTCATAATCTGGCCGATGTTCCAGACCTCCGTGCATTGACGACATCCATCTCCTATCTCCTCGTGTCTCCGCTATTGCCGCCGATTAGCCAATTCCTAACTGTATTCTCGACCTTATCACTGAACGTGAAAACGGATACGCCTAAAGGTCCCCACATCCCCTGCCCGCGTCCAGCAGACCAGCAGAGCACGCACCATACCCTGGCGTTGTTTGGGGACCAGGATACCTTCACCTCCGTTGGGAAACTGCAGAGGTGGTCAGACGAGATGGTGCACATGCCATGCAGTCAGTTCCAGTTTCGGATGATCGATGGCGCGGGCCACTTCTGGCGCGAGAATGGGGTCGAGGTGCGAGCAAGACATGCGTTGAAGGAGTGGCTCCGCGAAATATGATAAGCTTCTGCTTTTGGTTATTTGGCTGTCCAATCATACCCAGCTTTTTCCATATACGCATGAATTGTAGCGACACAATCTCGAAAGATGACATAGGAAGGCGAAAATCAGCCCTGAAGGCCTCACATGCCGCTTTGCATGTGAAGATGCCCCTGGCCGGGGTTCCACGGGGTTGATGCCCAATTATTTGAGAATTTCATATTCCAATGATTGCAGAAAAGGATATTAGAGGCATATTTATTGAAATTAAATGAAGAAAATAGTGATAGATTATGATAAATTCCTGTACATTGTACGGAGTACTCCGTAGGCAAGTATTATGATGCTTCCCCACTGTCATGGGGTAGCTGATCGTGGGGGTGAGATCATGGGGAAAAACAGGTCTTCTGATATTTCATGGAGACCAAATAAACTGAAATATTATAAATCGAACATCTCCACTTGGAGTAATAGAGTCCAGTAGTATTCGAGGAATAGTGAAATCGTCATAAAAAGGAACCAAAAGTGGACAGCCCAAGGGCCTGAGGAAACTGGCTACCATTGGCCCTCGTGACGTTTGTTAGGTCACCGCCAAACTTGACTTGAACTGGTAGAATCTCTACTTTTTATAACTCATTTACTCTCTTTTTTTATACGAGATTTATTAAAGGTAACAGATCTCCGCATTTCATACCCCGGCTGATGGCTTGCTTCCCCAATGCACAGGCCTGCCATGTCGGTATTGGGCGACCCCACAATAGTTCAGTGCCATCATGGGCGCAAACACTCCCAAGAACACCCCTTATCCCAGCCACCTCCGCGGCCTCTCCGCAGAACAATCTCCATCCCAGCTGTATCGTCGCTCGTGAAGGACACGTGGAATTGGGCCGGTGATACTCTGCACACCTACCGCGATGGCCTCTCCAAGGAACAGCGGAAGCAAAGGGCGGAAATCGAGGACCGCAAACAAGTCCTATATTTGAAAATAAAGAATGTAAGTACATGCGATGTACCTGGGACAGGCGATCGCATCTGCAGAGTGACCCTTTCTAACCCTTAGGCTGCAGGCTGTGTCGTACGAGGAATGGCGAAGTTGCGCCATTGAACTGGATGAGCTAGAGAACAACAATGCCTGGAAGCAGACCCTCGAGTCCGCCGAATATGATCCTCGCTTGGTACAGGATCGATTGCGACAATTGGAAGATGCTCGGATCAGCTGCGACGTAAGCCGTATGCTGTTTTTGGTGCGCACTGCGCTAAGTCGGGACCTGGCGCATATGAGCAATGCCTCTCTCTATCGCCATTCGCATATCGGCACCAAGGACTTGATTGATAGGTATATTACCACGGCTTTGGAGACCATCACAACACTGGTGGATTTGTCGGTGCATGATCGCTGCGATGGACTGGAGCTGAAGTATATCCTGGACCAGCTGCTGGCAGCTCGACAGGCATTTGGTCGCAGTGCGCTCCTCTTTTCCGGTGGTGCCACTTTTGGCATGACCCATATCGGGGTTCTCAAGGCTCTCTATGAGGCGAACATGATCCCTCGGATTATCTCAGGTGCCTCTGCTGGTAGCATTGTGTGCGCGGTCTTTTGCACGCGCACAGATGAAGAACTGCCGGCGCTTTTGGATACCTACGTACATGGGGATTTTGATGTCTTCAATGAGAAGGGCCAAGAGGAAAATATCCTGCAGAAGATGACTCGCTTTTTGAAGTTTGGATCATTTCTTGACATATCCCACTTGGCGAAGACCATCAGGAACTGGCTGGGAGATATGACCTTTCAGGAAGCATATAACCGCACCCGCAGAATCCTGAACATCTGTGTATCGAGTGCCGGCATGTATGAGCTTCCACGGCTGTTGAACTATATTTCCGCGCCTAATGTGTTGATCTGGTCTGCTGTGTAAGTTCCCCCTTTTTCTTCCTCCCAACACATTTCTAACTTCTCTCAAGGGCGGTATCATGCTCTGTTCCCTTTGTATTTAGGCCATTTACGTTGATGGCCAAAGATCCGTTGACAGGGGAACCAGTCCCGTGGAATGACCTTCACAAACAGTATATCGATGGCTCTGTCGACGGAGATCTGCCCATGACACGGTTATCAGAGATGTTTAATGTGAACCATTTCATTGTCTCCCAGGTGAATCCCCATGTGGTGCCGTTCCTTTCAAAGGAAACAGGCCCACAGGACGAGTCAAACGGTGGCCCTTCATTCATCCCTCGATGGATGAACACGATGACACACCTTGCCAAAGACGAGGTGCTGCATCGGATGAACGTCCTCTCAGAGCTTGGAGTCTTCCCAACATCAATGACCAAGTTTGCCTCTATCGTAAACCAGAAATATCATGGGGACATCAACATATACCCAGAACTCATTTCCTCCAACTTTCCACGGCTCCTGGAGAATCCGACAACGGAATTCATGCTTTCAGCATGCTTGAGTGGCGAGCGGGCGACATGGCCAAGATTAAGCCGCATCCGAAATCACTGCGCCATTGAGCTGGCACTCGATAATGCCATTCAAAATATGCGGGCCCGGGTAGCCTTCAGTCCGAGCCAGGTTGATTTACGTATGCCGAACCGTAGCCGTCACTCGATTGACTCGGCAGACAGCAGTGGAAGGGGACGTTATCGCGACAGACGAAGAGGATCCCATAGCCCCGAGCTGGAAAAGAGGCACTCGGGCAGACAAGCACGGCATCAACCAGCCCGGGAACTAAGAAAGGCACGAAGCACTGTTTCACTGGAGAACCCGCCTCTCTCGCAGTCGAGCGAGTCAATCCTCATGTCGACCCCAAGGACCCACCGCCGTACATCCTCAGTATCCTTCAATAACGGAGCGATATTCGACATCGGATCAAGCAGCGACGACGAGCTCGAACAATCATACATCCTTCGTCCCAAACTTGCAGGCCACCGAGCATCTTCAGAGTCATCTTCGTTCGGTGGAGCACCTGGGAGTCACGGACCCCGTAGCCCCGTTCGGTCCCGACGATCCTCATTCTCTTCTGGTCCGGCCTACAATTCTTCCGTTACGGCTCGTCACAGTTCCCCAAAGCAGGCGTATGTGCCGTCGGCTCGCGATCTCTCCATGACCGTACCACCTTCGTCCCGCCATCTGCTCAGTATGACTCCAACGCCAACCGTCCACCCGAGCTCGCCTGACTCCCTGACGCGCAAACAGCGGCATTGAAGAATATACGATTAATCGTGTAGCATACTCCGTTCCTCATTTCTTCAGGAGTCACTGGCCGCAGACTCCAGCCTCCTTGACACATACAGGCTTGCCCCTCAAATCAAACTAATTTCATACCCCCGTACTCCGTACGATGTAAGACACTCGGACCGGAAGAACTTTTGATCTCTGCAGACTCTGTGATCCTGTATATCTGCAGCCTAAGCATCCACTGTATCTCTTGGCTCGGTTATATTTCCTCCGTTGGTCTGTTCAATCCGAAGTCCACTTATTAGATCCTCTTTTGTGTATAATCCCTCCTTGGGGTTCTGTTTTCGGTATACCCAATCCGTAGGATTCGCGGAGTTTGCTTTTTCCCTTTCCATTTCGTTTTTGCTATCTACAACATGACAGCCATACAGCGGTTTTCTGTATATAGTGGGGAAGTTTTCCACGTACACATCGTGGGGCGTTGAATCCCCAGATGAAATGGAGTTTGGGTTTAGACCTTCAATCGACTAGTCATTTTAAGTTACATAAGGATATATAATTCCACATTCAAGGGTTGATACAGGCTCCACCGTCAGCGCTAATATCCCTGAAACTAAGCTGTTTCCCAGTTCAAGTCCCGAGAACATGCCGCTTAGTGAGCTTAATAGTCACAAAGGATGCTTGGCGCCTTTGGTGTACAGCCAACTAGAGAGAAGCTGGTGGAGTACAGAGGCAAATTAGTATCAGGAAAGAATCGGCAGTGAGCATTGATGGGTCATGGATACATTGATTACCTGCCCCGTACACGTGTCTGTGCAATCTATGGATGTTAATACAGATATGCCGATAGATTGAATCTAAACACGAAACAGGTCCATATTTTATCGTGATGTCCCTGTTGCAGGTGGTTTGAGGGCAAAGTGGAAGTATCCACTACCAACGTTGATTCTATGTCACGGGGCCCACTGTGGGCCCAGCTAGATCCCATTCACCCCAGGGCTGACGACGACTCGGCCATCAACCAATGTTCCAGGCCATTTCCAAGATTGCGGTATCTCAATGTTCTCGAACTTCTGTACGGAGTAGAAACAGGAGATACTTTCTGTGTTTCAGTGGAACACATCAGAGCTTAACCCCGGGGAGACTACTCCGTTATAATTGAGCCATTCATTCTGAGCGCATGTCCATTACGGATCCAAAACCAGCCTAAATGTCCGCAACTCAGAAAATATTGGCTCAAAAGTGGTCCACTTCGCCGATCAGGCCGTGACCATTGGTCCTGACTTATCAATCAGTGGCTCTCCCAACCCTTTCCAGCCACGTCGAGTCCACCCTCGTCTGGACAACTCGCACCTCCTCACACAGGCTGTGTATCAGCCTTCCTGTTACGCACGCCGTGGCGAAACAAATACACATGAAACCAGTAACCAGCCATTCTGTTACGGACAAAGTCTAATGACGCTGGAAAAGTCGAGATGAGCAAATCATCTCTGACATGATGTGCTACGGCCAAAAAAAAGGGGTAACTTGCGCCAGTCGCCCTGAAGCCGAGTAAGAACTAGTTTCGTTCTTGGCCGTGCCTGGTTTCGAGCCTGTTAGGTAGGAACGCTCCGAGATGAAGCATTCGATACGGTCAGAACATCCCGACAATCATCGATTTGCCTTTTATGCTATTCTGCACGCGGAAGATGATCGTCGCACCATTGTTTGGTACCTGGCTGTGGCGTCTGTAGCTCAACCGTACCGTCGATACTTGCCCCGTCGAACGTACCAGAACCACTATTTTCCTTTTTTGACGCGTTGGCTGACCAGCGAAGGATCGAAGGAAAATAACTCAGCCCCAGGCCATGCACCTCTGCCCGCCCACGGCTACTTTGTGTCTGGTCCCTAACGACCCTAAGGTCCCTGAAGTTAAGATCGACACATCCACTTCTACCGTTTCAAGGTACTATCGTCGTCCCGCCAGTCCACCTTCCGGCCTGCCCAGCCTTTAATGAGGCAACCAGACTGAAGTCATGGCGCGATCACAAAATTTACTTCGGCAGGACCAAGCTCCCAGATCAACAAGCTTGATAAGTCGGCAGCCTTATAAACCCGTCCCAGGCCCTCCGAGATTTTCTCTCTAAACTATAAGATCTGTCAGATATACAACCCATATATCCAAGTCTGATTTCCATCTAAATTTCTCCACTCCTTTGATATATCTTCCAATTAATCTATACCAATCACAATGAAGTACACCGGCGTCGCTGCTATGGGCATGATGGGCTGTGCCCTCGCCTTGCCCCAGGGTCCTCCTCCCTTCATCGGCGAGCTGCCCCAGGGACACCCTCCTTTCTCCGGCGCCCCTAGTGACGCGCCCACTCCATCCAGCGGCTTCCCCAGCAGCACTCCCACCAGTGTTCCTACCGGCTTCCCCTTCGATAAGCGCCAGTTCCCCGACGGCCCTCCTCCTAGCGGCTTCCCGGCTCCCACTGGACCTCCTCCCTCGGGCTTCCCTAGCGGCTTCCCCAGTGGCTTCCCTAGTGGCTTCCCCAGTGGCTTCCCCAGTGGCTTCCCCAGTGGCTTCCCCAGTGGTTTCCCTAGCGGCTTCCCCGCGCCCACCGGTTTCCCCTTCGAGAAGCGCGAGTTCCCCCACGGACCCGGTCACCATGGCCCTCCCTTCGACGGTCCTCACAGCGGACCTCCTCCTAGCGGCTTCCCGACTCCCACTGGTCCTCCTCCCTCGGGCTTCCCTAGCGGCTTCCCCAGTGGCTTCCCCAGCGGCTTCCCCAGTGGCTTCCCCAGTGGCTTCCCCGCGCCCACCGGTCTCCCCTTCGAGAAGCGAGAGTTCCCCCACGGACCCGGTCACCATGGCCCTCCCTTCAACGGTCCTCACAGCGGGCCTCCTCCTAGCAGCTTCCCGACTCCCACTGGCACTCCTTCCTGGGGATTCCCCGCCCCTACCGGTTTCCCCACCGGCTTCCCCAGCGGATTCCCCAGCGGATTTGAGAAGCGCCAGTTCCCCACAGACCTCCCCTTCTCCATCCCTAGCGGATTCCTGAGTGCCTTCCCCTCCGGTTTCCCCACCGACCTGCCCTTCTCTATTCCCTTCGAGAAGCACCAGGAGTTCCCCACTGGCCTCCCCACTCCCAGTGGACCTTCTCCCACGCCCTCCCCTCAGTAAATACTGAGTATCTGAGCGGCTGAGTGGCTCCTCGTTATCTATTGCTGCGCTGAAATTAGTCTTGGATTTGTGATATGAATTGATGTTTGATGTCACACCCAAGACGCCTTTCGCGCTTTGTACATATTGTACAGTGGAGTGAGGATTCGATGTATTGGGATTGATTGACTCAAGTGCCCAGTACTGTATTGTACAGGATATATGGGTTACGGGTCATGGGATAGATTTGTTAGAATGTTTTTGGTTAGATTTGGGTCTGCGAGACGATTTATTCTTTATGAATTACACGCAGGCTCTTTTGTCAGTTTCAATGTTTGAATTTATTTTTCCACCTTGGAATACACACTCATTTGAGCTATTGATCTTTTTTAGAGTGTTAATATTGTGGTATAAATGTTTGGAATAGTAGATTACGTGCTTCGGATGTTAGGGCCAAATATCTCAGACGAAAATCGGCCTGAGCCAATCTAGCTATAGTACTCTAACCAACTCCGTCGGTTTCTAATCGTAGGTTACTCCAGAACCATATGTTGTACTTCGTACTACTTTCCCGAGTTTTGCCCTATAGGAAAACCGACAGCCTCGAACGGTATGCTATAATATGACCTATCATATTACACGTTAAGGAATTGTACCATTCCCTTCCTGTTTTCCTTTTTTCCGTTTTTTGTTTTAGTTTTTTGTTTCATTATTATTTTTCACTTTGCATGGTGTTGATCTAAGAGAAGGAAAAGCCATTATCACAGAGACTCATCCAGGTAAGCACTAGCTGTCCTTGACTATCAATTTTAAATCGGTGGTCATACTCTAATTGATGTCATCTCAAGTAGAACTGGGTATTTGAATGTTGTCTATTTAGTTGTACATACTGAAAACTTCGATTCATGCAGAACTACGTCTTACATCGCTCGTAATGTGACAAGTCCTGAAAAATCCAATAGTTACCACCAACTTTGGCCACTTTACTGTGGCTGGCTGACCCATGACCCCGCCTACGTTCGCTGGTTATAAATATCGGCTATGAAGTTTTTGTTTCCATCCCATCAGGAACATTACTCTTCATCTTCCCCCTAAACAATCTTTATAATGGATGGGGATAATGAGCATGCTACTATCGGCCCCTTCATCATCCGCGTCAAGGGCGAACCTATAACCCAGCCCGAGGAAAATGCTGAGTCCTGGACCCAAGCAAAGGTTGGCTCCAACCAGGCCGTTTTCACGTGGGTTGGCGGTAGCCGCTTGGAATCTGATGGATGGGTTCTGGGGCGACATATTACTGAAGACAAAAGTCTTCTGCCTAAACCCGTCTATTGGGTTAAGAAGGAAGATACGGCCTCTGGATACCTAGTTCAACCCACTTCCGTTTATCTTGATGGAGACTCTTACAAGCTGCGCGTGGGAGGTATGTAACGACAACTGATGATCTATACAAAATAGGAGTGCCACTAACGTAATCTACAGGCACAGCTTTGGAGCAACGTGACGGGAAAGTTTATGCATGGCTAATTAATGGTAAGTAGGAAACCTCCGACCTTTAGCAAAATTGAGGGAATGGTCTTGTCTAATACCGAGGCAGGCGTTGACGAAGCGGAGATAATAATGCAGTGAAGCATTTGGTTGACTTTGGAACACGGCAATTCCAAGCGTGGAGGTCAAACTTGCGAAGTGACTGCCACCGGTGCTGCGGAGAAGACCTCTGTACAGTTGTATGTTAGTTACATAGGTCTCTACTTTGATCACTAGGTGCGGGGTACAGCTGCAAATTGATCGTACATTGGAAAGATGGCGCAAACCTGTCAAGGACCAGATCTACTCTTAAGTCTTGTCCAGCTTTTGCACGCTGGATGGTGTAACAGATTCTGTCGGAAAAACGACGTATCTGCACATGGATTTCTGGGTATGTACTCCGTACTCGAGAATCTTACGGCATCAGTATTGGACGCCTCACGTACTCTTGGAAAAAGCGCATATTGCTCCTTGTCACTATGTGGTATGTCCTCTAGAACTGTCAATTTTAGCTCTTAGTTCGAGACTACCATTCCGGTCCCATACAGTATTGGTTACCTAACTTCTACTCAATTCTCCTCTCAACTGAGGACCATGCGATAGGTTATATATTGGATCCCTATGTTATACATCGTTAACTAGTTGACAGGTATCACTATACAAATAGATCTTAACCCTATGGAGGGAGAAAAACACTTCAGTGGATCAAGCCACATCGGCAGGTCTCTCCACTCCTTCGGGAACCTAGGTATGTATATACTACTGTTCACAAGTCCACGGTTAGACCTGCGACTGACTCAGTTTAAATAAACGTTGGTATAGAACGTTGAAAGAAATTATGCTAACAAAGTTCGCAGGAAGGCGAAAATTTCGTTATAACATGGTGGATGATTGAAGCATCCGTTCGTAAAAGCAAGATATCCGTATGCACGTGCGTGAGATTTACTGTAGCTAGTTCACCGCATTTTCTATAGACTTCCTGACTGGATATAACCTGAGTACAAAATGCTGCTGCATTACGTAATATTCAATAGTTGAATCGTGCCGAGCTGGCCAATGCCATACCATTATCCAGATTGCATTCACTATGCACTATTATTTTTTATCCAATCGGCCATATTTTCACTTGCTTGCCTTGGTATCTCTTGTACTGCAGCAAATAACCCTGTAGCCGCGCGAGGCCCACTGATCTATCTCTCTGCGATCGATGAGGAAAACCTTTCGGCCATCGCATCAAGACTCAAACCTGATTCCCTGTCTCTTAATAAATAAACGGACACGTCGCTATACATATTGGTAAATATGGCATGCATCTGTTCGCGGGAGGGGAGCTCAAATTCAACGTGCGTATCTACTCTGCCCGGTCAGATGAGCGCCGGATCGAGTCTCTCTGGTGAGTTGGAGGTCATGGTTAGGATTCGTCCTTCTTGTGAAGACACCGCGTAGATATCATCGAGAAGACCCGATAGTGAGACTGAAGCGATGGGGGCCACATATATTGAACCAGGTGGCCGTCCAACGGGCGAATCCACCGAAGAAGCCACACTACTCACAGCCCTCGGCCGAACACCTGTATCTTTTATATGTTGCCGACCCAGTCTGGGGGCGTCAACATTTTCCAGCCAAACGATACAGCGTGAGGGGACCTCGGACATCAGTTTCACAAGTTGTGTGTCATTTAAGTTGGGATCAAGGAGACTTAGGATGTAGACATCCAGCCCAAAGAGACCCGCGAGGGCAGAGGTGCGTGCCTTGGAATGGCTGAATGCCCATGGGAGGCTGATTCACAATATATCGATAGTTGACAAATTTTGTGTCTTAGGTTTCAGCACCTTTCACCAAGTTGAGTGCATCTTCTTAGTCTGCCCAGGATATATTTGACTTGCTAATGGCACATAGGGAACAAAGTCTTGGATTGGGAGGTTGATGATCCATCACCCATCGCAGGAGATAGTGATAGACGGGGTCTCGGGATGAAACCGAGTCCCGGTAGTTCCAATGTGCTGGTAGCATCATACCTAATGATGGCGAGAAAGAGAAAGCAGTTTAGTATCTTGCTACGCACAAATTTCATGGGCTCTGAAAATAAATCGATTCCAACTAGATCCACGATGACATCTAGGATTAAGGTTAAAAGTGGGGCACCTGTGGGGATTCAATGCAAGAGCCTCAAGTGACACGACACTTGATGGTACAAGATGGATATATGGCAGAAACTTTATTTATGTGTAGTTATTCATACATAGACAACTGTAATATCACGATGAACCACCAGTGGCTAGAAATCCGAAGGATACTGTATTTCTACTGTCGTCTGATTCGTATTGAAACTCCACATGTGGTCACACCGAGGACCCTGTCAACTATAGTCTCCTAGAGAATTCACCCGTCTTAGCTCTAGAGATGATTCAAAACAAAATATGTATGTAGTCCCGAGTAAAGATGTGATCCATACGTGCTTTAGACGCTTAAGCAGGCTCTTAGTGAAGAGCGGGGAGCAGCACAAAAGGGAGTGCCTTTATCATGTATTGTTTGCTCAGAGTTCGCTGGCTTGAGTTCGACAACCATTTAAGAGAGTACTAGCCATTGTAGGTGTCCCAATTACGTTAAACAAAGGATCTCTAGTGTTATCTACGCTCTCTGGGCATCTTTGTAGCCGATTCTATGGCCCACTCACGACGTCAAGTTCGAAGACATGAGGGTTCTAGAGTAGGACGAGCGGCAGTGTAGTTACAAAGTGGAAGTAATGTTAGCCTATGCACTCAATATATACAGAAGAGAGGCCTGTCACCTGCGATGTCTCATCCGCGGCATCAATGGGAGAGTGAAGCTCGGCTTGGCTCTTGTCAAGTCCCCAACAGAAGTTAGTGTCGCGAGTAGCTACGCTGGGCCGCTATAGATTCTAAACTGAGTGTTCTTGCTTGCGTATTTGAGATACAGACGGTGACAACCGTTTGATTGTACCCCGAGGCTCTAACATGTACCGTATTGGGTAATATGCTGCATTAGTACAGTACCCACAAACGAGTGCTTGTTATATTGATTCCCGCGCGTTTGTTCAAAATCTAGAGGTATAAAAGCCTTTCCAGATGTTGGTTCCTCCCTGTTCCTTTCTTCTCTTCTACACATATCATCTTGGAATTTTGATTCAACACAGCGAGGACTTTCATCAGAACTTTCATCACTTCCGTCTCATCTTCAATCTCATAATCTTACCCAACCAACAAGCCATCAAACCTCTATAATGGCTACTACATCTAAGTTGGAGAAGGCAAAGGCCAAGGCCAAGAAGCCTGCCGTGGCCCCGACCAAATTGAAGCTGAAGCTAAATGTCCAGGCCCCGAAGGCTGAGGTCGAAGTCTCCGAGACTGGGGCAAAGGGAAAGACCAGCGATGAGGAATTTCTCTTGACTCTTCTCAACAGCTCCAAGGTTGGTTATCTGTTATATGATACATAATGGCTGGACTTTAGATTATACTAACCAAAACCTCACGACAGGTCGATCACGAGACTGCATCTAAGTCTCTCGGCATAAATAAAGCGGCATGCCGAATGCGCTTTATTCGCCTCCAGCAGAAGTATGGATTCAAGAAGAAGGGAAAGGGCACGCCTCGCCATAAGCAGGCACCTACTACCGATAACGAGGAAGTGACTACCGAGAAGGACGCAACTCCTACCAAGGAGTCCGATGTAGCTGAGGAGGGGGCCAACGAGGATGAGGCCACCGAGGATGAGGCCACCGAGAACTGAGGTACCCGCACACACTGGCCACAGCTGTGGAATTAAGTTTTGATTCAGAAGGAACTGGAAGGGGGCAAATGACATGTAACAATGAAAGAGATTTCTGACTCTCATTTCTCTTACTTCTGTAAATTTGTAGTGTCGTATTTCATCAATATTCGCTCAGACGGTCCAAAAGATGGTGACACAGAACCCCAACAATAGACCGCGATTCACCCCATGTTGCGAGACACATCACATTGAGACAATCTACACCTGATTTTGAGAGTCTATTTTCTAATTTCATTGATAGATGTTTGTCCCTCATTGATACCTGACATGTCAGGTCTTCAATGGGTCAGTTTGCGTTTAAAAGACTTAAATCTCCTTTTTCTTTTTCTTCATTTCTCAGTGAGGTCTTCACACATCAACTTTCCTTTTGGATAGCCTCATAATTGCTGAGCCTTATCCTATGATTCCATGCCTTTGTTGTTTCTATTCAAGATATGTCTCGGTGTTATTATCATGAACAAGCTACATCTGCATCAGGCTTGATGAAATCGTTCAGTATGGCCATCAAAAGCATCGAAGCTAGGCAATACCTAACAAAGTCAGTGGGTTCTCACTTTGTCCTTGGTGGCATCTTATATGCTTATTGTCAGACCCTGACTTATACCAAATGCGGATTTCTCTAGATCATCGTGACCATGGCACTAGAGAGTGATTTCTTTGCCACCAGGATGTATATATTTAACTACGCCTCTGCATCCAACTCGGGCTCCTGCCTGTGTCGACAATGTTGGATTACTCCCTGCCATGCTCGAACGATGCCGTCCAAAGCCAAAGTTAAAACACACACCTTCGAGCCATTTCCTCGCACACCTTGTTTGGGTAGTTGTGTGGTCGACTTGGTTTCTTTGACCCAGGTAGCCTTGCAAGGAGTCTTTCGCTGTGCTCGTTCTCGTGTTTGCTTCACCCGCTTTGCAAATAGAACACCAACTCAAAGAACCTAAAGACTCCAACAATTGATTCAAGGATTTTGGACCAGAAAATTTCCAAATAAATCGATTGCAGCAAAAGAAAGTACCATGGAGCTACACGGGCTGTCGTTACGAAACCCTTTTTTTCCAGTGAGCAACTGAAGGGATTTTAGGCCCGGAGTTGTCACTGTCGTGGGGAACTGTCAGGTTGGGCTATTAAACTAAATATATACTGCTTGGAGCCCCTAACGGTGTTATTTTGACAACCTTGGGGGTTTCGGTGTTCTACCTGTGCCGAGAAGCAATGACACCAAGAACAAGTTCGCCACCAAGATCAAGCTCAGGGAGGCCTTTGATCATCACTACTATCTCTTCATTCAGATTTTCCACCTCACCATATCAATTAACAAACAAAGCTGGACCATGGCTCCAGCAACCAACGAGTCGAAGGCGAAAGGCAAGGTGCCTGATCAGGCTCCGGCCAAATTTAAGCTCAAGCTAAATGTCAATAAGGTCAGCGACGAGGAGTTCCAAGGTTCCTTCTGGCTCTCCTGAATACCATGAAGGTTAGCTATTGCCGCTTGATAAGCATACCCAGTAATTATACTCCTTGCCCCTTTCTACCTCTATACTTCTCACATTCAGTGTCCTCCTATCCCCGTTGGATGCAAGATCGCTGGTATTACTTGATTCTTTCTGTGTGCCTATACCCCACTGATCATATATATTTATTTACTATTGAGTCCACATACAGTTATGCTAAGCAAGCATATCTGACCGAGAAATCCCCACATTTGCCCGAGGCATGTTTCCTCAAAGCGCAGATATACAAATGCCCGGAACCTTTTCTACTTCTTCCCCTCACCTCTCTCTATCACTCGCCGCATTTCTTTCCTTCAAGGCCTTGATCCTTCTGCTGTTGATTCACATTTTCAACTTCGTAAAAGGGAAAGGAACCGGCAAAAGTCATAGCCCACGTGAGGCAGGCATTTGCCAAGCACGGAATCCTCCTTTTTGTGGCCATCAAATATAGTAGGATCAACCGGGAAACTGAGCACCAGAAGCGACTAACTGTTGACATACACATGTTCATGAACCATATATTGTATGCCGGTTAACTGAAACTTTCGTTGAATTACCCCAGCAACCCACAAGTCGAAGGGTAAGGGGAAAGAGCCTGTTCGACCCAAAGTGGCAGGTGAGGAGTTGTGTTTAGCCTGTACAGCAAAAGGAAAAGCACGAATCCTACTCGAAGAATGTACCCATCAATCAACATCGCCGCGAGGTACGTTCACGTCAGATTATAGATAATGTGAAGTCACTTTGGGTAGAACTTGATAGAGCGATATTGACAATGAATTTAAGTGTGTTGCTTTTAGCGTCCTCGCTGTGATCAGTTCATTTCAATGATATCAGCATTGCTTGATTTATATTGTGGATCACTTCAGCCTCACTTGGACATCAGATCTGATATAAAAGCAAGGTTATTTGTAGTACGTGCGCCTTACTGTCTCATCAAATTGAGAGATCTACACGCCAGCTCTCGTATGCCTACTTCTCATGACAGCAACGTTTGCCTGGCCAATTTTGGACCACAATTTTAGTTGAAATTGTCAACTCCTCGTTTACTTCCTCTCTTCTTCTTCTCTCCTCCCTTTCTCCATACATCTCCGCATTCTTCCTTCATTTTTCATTCAAAAGACCTACTAATTATTACCCTCACCTCATTTCTCACCAACAGGAAACTTGCTTTCTCGTCATGCCCCCTGGTGCAAAGAAGGGAATGGACGAGCCGGCGAAAGCCGTGCCTCACTCAAAGGTCACGAAGACCGAAGCCATGAGAGCCACCAAGAAGAACTTCACCGAAAATGAAGTGTTCTTCTACCTCGCCATCAAGAATAGCGCGGTGAAGGTCTGTTATCTCTCATTTGGTTCACGCTTGCTCTTAGATTTTATATTGACCGTGGCTTTTTCTAGTTCGACCACGAGGCGATTGGCAACGCACTGGGGAAGACTAAAGATGCCACTCGTATGCAGTTGACTCGGCTGCTGAAGGACATTGGGGACTTCATAAATGGCCAGGAAGACTCGGTTCAAAGTGATCAACCAGAGCGTGAGAAGACCCCTGCCAACCAAGAAGGTCTAAAGAATGACACTCAGGATGATGATACCCCTGTGAAGATCAGCGAAATGCAAGACATCTAAATGGACAATAATGTCTTCTTTCCGCCGTATGATGGGTTCGGCGCCATGTCCATGAATTCACGCCTTCTTGAAGTAGATCCGTGCTTCTGGCACGAGGTTGAGGGTTGATGTGGGGGGAGACGCCACGAATACAGTCGAGCCCTTGGAGATGGTCGAGGTGGCTGAGCTCGTCGCGGTGAGACAGTCCAAATCGTTTACTTCCACAACGGCGTTGAGAAATCTGTTCTTTTCAATGGTACATAACGAATTGTTCTATCTATATGCATATGGTAGATGACATTGAACTAGATTGATCGTCAGATAATATATTAAAAATAGCCCAGTCAAGATGAATCCATAGTTGTAATTGTCACTGGATTAAGGCGTACAATACCCAATGTAGTCCGCTGCCCAAAGCCGACGGCACACGGGGACCTTTGTTCACAAGACATACGATCAGGTTAAATCACCACTCCAACGAGGAATGTACTTAGGTACAGACCTAAAGCTGGTCTCGAGAATGATGCTCAACTACATGATCTGTCACAAGGGAATATTTTTTGGTCAGCTTTTGTGTTTTAGTCGAGTTACCGTTTGACGGAAGCTCGGTCGAATGTATGCTCCGGGCGAATAAGGTAGGGAAAGCATTTCTATAGGCGCCTCTTTTGTTATTTACTAAAAAGGCTCAAACTTAGCCTGGAGTTTTATTTTCGGCTTGGCGCTTGTACTTGATGTTTGTATACAATTTCATATTCTAGCCCTAGGGTGCATATTTAGGGTAGGTAGCCCGAGAGCAGATACATTAGTCAGTACATACATTAAGTACAGTTTCGCATTAATGAGAATTTCTATAAATATCGTTAATTAGCTGGGTTTGTTCATGGTGGGTTACATTCGTGTATGTTTATAGCGTGGCCTCGAAAGTAATCGCTCAACAAAGATGAGAACAACACAAAAGACACCAAACAGAAACTGGCAAATAGAATCTAACCAAGATAAAAACACAATATATTTTGTAAAATAGTCAAGATAGAGATTAAAAAAGAGATACAAAACATGTGAAGTGGATGAATACTTCCCAAAGGTACATTATGCAAGCTGCAAGTAGGGAATGTAAATTGGAGCTAATTGACATCTATTTTAAGACCCAAAGTGGCCGATATGCGAACTAATTAAGGAACATTTGAACAAGTCCCCCTGTCAAGCGCAGAGTGTAGATCTCTGCATCACCTCTCGGCGGTAAGGCTTACGCCCTATTGGTCGGTGTCAACAGCTACAATGAGATCTCCGACTGACACAAAGCGCTTTACACATCTCTTAGAGTGGTCTTAGACTGTCCCCGTTCTGAGACCAAGCTTTATATCCGGACGCCTTCCGCTGAAATGAAGGGTCTTTCTCTCTCAGTTTCAGACTGGCTTGACCAAAGTCCCTGGCGGACTCCCACTTGATTTGATTTGCTTTTGATTTGCTTTCTTTTGTTATTTTCTAGCCTGCCTGTTTACAAGGATTCAGTTCATTAGCGACCCCTCCATTGTCTCTCGAGACCCTTGTTTATCGTCATCCTGGCTACTATCCAATCCGCGGCCTTAGCCACCTGTTTGTTTCTGGATCATTGCAGAAGGGCCACCCGAATCCCGTTACTCTGCCAACTTGGGGACTTATCCGCTGGTCCTCGTCACCGGTTGTTTGCTGGTTCTCATTAGAACGCATTAATACCAACCCTGTCCTATAATTCCCCCGCTCGATTATTACTCCCCCCCGTTAAACGGATGTCACCTTTTGCTTCTCCTTTGGGGTGATATCAGAGTGATACAAGTCGATATCACACAAAAATCTTACAGATATCATGGCGGGAATCGTCAACGGACCTCTATCTCTCTTCCGCAAGTCGGACTCTTCAAAACCTCTCCATGCTCGATGGGGGGATGTGTCCATCTCCGTGCCCACAGACGGCTCGTGGAATCAATACGACAACCCCCATCGACCCGCCAAAGAGAGATCAACCTACGGGCCAGGTTACGTGCCGGACTGCTCTCCGCAAGACCGCCGGAATCCCCGCCCAGTGAAAGAAGAGGACCAAGACGACGACGCCAGAAGCGTCTGCAGCGAAGCCTCAACAGTCTCGCGGCGCAGCTCACTCTCCCTTGGAAGCCTGCGACCGGGTCGGCTCTCAGTGCGCCTCGCCTCGCGTCCGAAACAACTGCGGGGCGAATCACAGTCGGAAAGAGACGCCCGGCGCTCCGAGCAAAAGCGAACTGAGTTTGCATATCGACCAATTCAACAGGACTACACCTCCGAAGTAGTCGAAAACAACACTCATCCCAGCAATCGCTTCAAGTACATTCCGACCAACGGACGGTACCTCCAGAGCTCGGGCGCTGAGACTCCGCGCAGCCAATCTGTCAACTCGGCCCGCAGCTCTCACTCGCGGCGGGGCTCGTTGTCTGAGTCTAGTGACCGGCGATACGGCGGTCGCGATCGCGATCATTACGCTCCTCCTGTCCGGAGCACCTATCAGGAGGATGACCGTCGCAGTTTGCACTCTACTAGCTTTCGTGATAGCTCGGACGGTTCTAGGCGAAATTATGGGCTGCCACCTAGACGGCGGACGTCGCCTTTTGTTGCGGCTGATAGTAAGAGGGCCTCTTCGATCTCGAAGCCTATGACATTGGCTATGGTTCCTGATCCTGATGATCTCTATGAGTAATGGGTCTATGTGTATTTCGGTCGTTACATTTTGATTTTATTGAGCATCATTGCCCGGTGTTGGGTGTTTTTGGTGGTTATTGGCCTTTCAATAACGCCTCAGAATGAAACCATTTATTTACTTTTTCACTATTCACTCTACAGTAGCTTTGCTGAATTTAGCTAAAAGTTTGGGTAATATCCGTTCAACCTTGGAATTTATCATTGGCCCAGTGGCATGCAACTCAAGCACTTCTTCATAGCATTCCAATTGGTGGATTTCCCCCCATTCCGTCATGGAATTCAAGTTTCGACCTGAGTATATCACTATGACAGCATATCAACGTCTTTTGCCCCAGCCAATAGAAAATTCCACATAAGAGCGGCGGTCTGAAGCAATTTAATTGCGAGTTGAACATTAAATATTGAACACTGACAATAGCGAGCTCGTTATCTCAATACCATTGTGACCGCGATGGTAGACGCAGTAGTCCAACTTCGGTGTGGTGTCAAGGCAAGTATATTCTGCCTATATATTTTACGTCAATACTAATTATTTACCCTGGATTAACAGAACGACGACTGGGGGAAAAAAGGAAAAGAGTCGATTGCTGCGCAGCTATGGTCTAAAACGCCAAACAATGCAGCAATTGACCACTCCAAGCATTATTCCGAGGTAAGCTTCTCGTCAGAGTTATTGGCTACTATAAGTACAGTCATGTTGACCTTTTGAATAGATGTGGCTGGGCACGTACCCTTCAAACCCATCCTATCTACTTTCCACGGGCGAACACCTCGGCGAGTACCTGAAGAAGCATCCCGAGCTAGTGGGCAAGTCCGTTCACGACCGATGGGGTCCAGAGATTCCATTTCTGCCAAAGGCAAGCCCAAAAGCCAAGAATTAGTGTGTGGGCACATAGATAAACTAACATTGATCTAGATTCTATCTTTTAGCAAAGCGCTGCCCCTACAAATCCATCCAGACCTGAAGCTCGCCGCACAACTACACAAAGAACATCCCGACAAGTATGGCGACACAATGCACAAGCCAGAGATTGCAATCGCCCTGTCCAAATTCGAGCTCTTCGCTGGCTGGAAGCCCCTGAAAGACATCCAAGCGCTGTTCGAGTTGAACCACCTAGCAAGATACATCCCCGAATCCGGACAATTTAACGACGAAACCCTGCGCCAAGTATGCAAGGCTCTACTGAGTGCCCCACCCAAAGAAGTCGCACAGACAATGAAAGATCTACAAGCCATCCCCGAATCCCAGTTCGGCGCACACACCTATATCCCCAACCTACTTAGCCGTCTAGCAAAGCAATACGGCGAAGGCGACAACGGAAACTTAGTCGCCGCCCTGCTGATGAACTACATGACCCTAGGCCCGGGAGATTCCGTCTTCGTCCCCGCAGACAGCATTCACGCCTACCTGGAAGGCGATATCGTGGAGTGCATGGCGCGCTCAGACAATGTCATCAACACAGGGTTCTGTCCGGCTGCAGACCGCGACAGCGTTGAGTTGTTCGGACAGGCTTTGAGTTTTGTACCACATAATGCGCAGGATGCGCTGCTGCCGCGTAGAAAGAGTGACAAGGGCCTGAATGGCAAGACGGATGTCTATGCACCGCCTATCAGTGAATTCTCAGTGCTGTGTACTACACTTGGGGCTGGGGAGAGTGAGACACACAAGGCCATTCTTGGGCCGAGTTTGATGATTGTTACCAAAGGTGACGGTCAGATGAAATTCCCTGGTAATCAGACCGCTGAGTTAAAGGAGGGATATGTTTTCTTTGTGGGGCAGGGAATTGCGTTGGACTTTGTGACTGACAAGGGCATGGCGGTTTATCGGGCATATGCGGAGTAAAAGTGGTTGGAAGAGGCTCGGGTGGGGGGGTTTTTAGTGAGTCATTTTGCGAGGAAGGGAATAGAGACAAAGGGTATAAATTGTATGAAATTAAAAAAAAGAGAATACTTGTACTTGTAGTTTGCAAATCGGGGATTGGAAGATTGAAGTAGGGCTTGCGCTGTCTTAGATTTGGTGTGACGGTTTCCATATCTGGTGAGCAACCCGTCGAATCAAAAATGGGTAGAAGAGGACCATATCAGAGCACTGACAGCTGATCAACACTCATCACATCTTGTAGATCTTTCATAATCCTGGGTGAACAAGCGGTGATAGCCTTTTCATTATATACAGCTCTGTGCTGTGGTGTTGGATTAATCGGGGGATATCATTTGCTGATTGCCAAGCGCTTTGGACGAACCGGTTAACGTACAACAACATTGTTGGCGACGGCAAATGCATGAACATGATTTGTTCACAGATGCAGCAGGTTTAATTTAGAAATTAGGGTGCATTTACGAGGTTCTAGCCCGCCGCTTATGCAGGTTAATTGAACTAATGCTGGCTAATTTTGTCGCCTTTGGGCAAATCTATCTATAGTTAAGTGATACTATCTTTATTTTCCCCCGCGAGCTCAAAATATCTTTGAAACAGGGACCGTGTGTCAGGTTGGCACTAAGCTTCGTTGATCCCGTTTCAGGGTCTTATATATCTATATCCTCGCAGTTTCAGAGCATGGGTTGTTGTTAGCATCCACAGAATTGAGGCTCAATTCTAAAGTCTTTCTGGTCTTAATACAAGATCGTGGAGGTCAAATCCGTCTTGACTTCAGTTCTTTGTTTACTTTGAATATCTATATCCTGGTTGTCCTCCCGGCAAACACATCCCCGTTGAATTACCCTTAAATATTGGGCTATGTCAATTAATTCTTCTCTTGACCCCCGCTCTGATAACTACTCTTCTCGGACCCCCGTGATTATCATTGGCGCGATAGCTGGCAGCCTCATCTTCCTAGCAAGTATGCAGCCCGAGCCGCAACCCGCCCAGAAAGAAAGCTAACCTAAACCAGTGACTGGAAGCTTACTATACCTCTTCTCACGAAAAGAACGGGCCAGAAGAAGAAATGCCCAACATTCCGAAGACTTCTCTCCTCTTGAACCACCACCAGCCTATAAAACGGACGAACTAGGCACATCCAGGGGTCTCCACTCCCAACCCCGGCCCTTATCCTCCTTTGCGCCGGACTACAGTCGCCAGGCCCAGCACGCGGAACAGTACCAACAGCAACTGTCTCGGCCTTCATACGATCAACCCCCGGCATACCCCACATTGCCAACATATGATCCGTCACGGTATCAACCTATTCGGCCAACCTCCATGGTGGGCGATATTAACGCCCACACCTATACCTATAACCCCACCAATCATGCCAATCCACACCCCGGTCCCTCTTCCCGCTTGAGCGCAGTTCACTACGGTGACGCCAGGCTAGCAACCTCCCGGCCGGTTTCAATGGTTGACCATGGGCCGCCAATTGGTCCTGTGGCTATTCCAAATAGGTCGAGGCGCCAGGCAGCTATACCACCTCCACCGGAGTCGAACAGACAGGAACGCAGGGACAGGAGGGATAGGAGAGAAAGGAGTGCATCTGAGCCAATGCCTTCGGCCCAGGCCGTCCCAAAACAACCTAAACCCGTTCTGTCGCGGCTGATCACCAATTTCCGTTGAGATTGTGACAGTGGCTTGGGCTTGTTTTCTTGTTTTTACGACTATCACGACATGGCGCTTTCTTTTCCGGAAAATGTGACTGGGGTGGTTATTTGTTATTTGTTACATTTTGATTTATTCAAGTTTTCGAAAATCAACCTTCATTAACCGGTGAAAACGCTCTAATTCTCATAGTAAAATACTTGGTAGATTGACAGACACCTGGTCTGTGCTATGATCTCCAATATCGATCATCCCGGCAATTTCCCCTTTCACACCCTCTCGGCGCCTACAGTACGTACATCTACCGGAATATCCCCGGCTCAAACGCCTCAATTTGATCATTCCTAAGATCCTAGTCTCTAATAATTCCTCTTTTAGGAAGTGCACATTCTTTGAGGTACCTTGTCTACTTTGCACACTACATTTACGCTAACTCGACCATGAATATTGATCCCTCCACTCCACTTCGTTGCAGGGATTCAGATGCGTCACAGTGAAACAGTGCTTTTTTACGCCTTCTCGCACTTTTTACGCCTTGAGAGGGGGGCAACCCCCTCTTTTGATCCCTGTCTTTCACCTGGTATTTTTTCTTCCTCGTCGATACTAGCAAATGACTGGTCAAGAAGAAGCTGCCTCAATGTCACTATCACCTCCATTGTTGCATCGTGATCCCTGAATTCAGGAGATAAATCTGCCACTCAAATTGTCTAGCCCCAAATCCGATCATCATATCGAGGGTCTTTGTTCTTGTGTGTGCAGATCCCTAGACAAGCGCCATGCCAAGACGACGGACGACGAGGACGCCGTTGATACAGACACACTATATGCAACCTATGGCCGACCCGCGTCAATTTGTCCACGCAAGTTGACTGCGCCGCACCTCGCAACTAAATATCTCGCTGAGAATGACCAAGGGGAACAGGGATCTCAACTACCCCTCCCACATGCATTTTTTTTACCTACGATGCAGTTATGGGAGCCTCTCATTTTCGGCGACCCGCCTGGACCTTGAGCCGGTCAACTGTTAGCCCTGCATTTCGCTGATTTTCTTTTTCTTCCCCGAGGCGCTGCTGTTTCTGTGAGATGCAGCATTGTCTCGATTCTTAGATTCCGCCACCGGGGCCACCAGTAGAGGGGTTGTACCAGACCACCGGGTTCAGTCCCGGGTCTCTAATCACTCGCTGGGTCAGTTGGCTACTAACCCCATCCCCGTCAGGCACTTCATTCGGAAGATCTTCTCTCTTCTTGGTTGCCAACGGATATGCAGTGGTTGGCTAGTGTGCCTCCATGGACGACTCGTTTTGATATAACTTCAACACATGCAGGCGATCTATCTGCCTGGCCACATTGTCATTATCTCTCTTTGTTCGTCTGCTGCGCTTGACTTGTCGCCCTGGGGAGAGAACCCATGCTCTCTGTGGGGAGGTTGATAAGTTCTGAGATGAGCACCGCACTAGGGAGTGATTTGTCCTCCCTTTGCTAAATTTGAACCCTGAACGCGCCGCCCCTCAAGCTCCCATGAAGAATTGGTTGAAGGCCATGGCGACTTTTATGAAGAAGTTCAAAAGGAAGCGCAGAGTGTCCACAGAACTCCACTCTCGCTGGGGTGATGTTTCTATCACCTATCCCACGCAAGGGTCCTGGAATCAGTGGGATCAAACTTCTGGTTTTGTCACGAATGCACCAGCGACGGCAGGCATACAGTCTGAAGAAAATCAACAATATCTCCCGGGTGGCCCATTACGCCAGCCGATCTCTGGCACCTCGAGCAGACGATCGCGAAGCACAGCCACCCGAGAACACCAAGTGGGAGACACTCCATCCTTCCCTACAGGATATTTCGACCAAAACATACGGCGTCGTGTGGGAGATAGAGATACACACACCCCGCCATCTCACACACCACCAGGTCAAGGACTCGGCCTTGGCGATCTCAGGCATGGGCCAAATCGCCGACCCTCAAGCTCTTTCATCAATGACGAATGCACTACCGATGAGTCATGCGACGAAGAAGAGGAAGAACGAGATACTCTGGGCCCACGAATTGAATTAAGCCCTCGAGAATACGGCATGGGAGATATGTCGCACACAACACGCGACGATCCCGAAGATTTCGATATCCCAGCCATATCTCCTCCGCTCGCTGTGACTTCACGCATGCGCCGTTGCAGCTTCCAAAGCTGTGCAACAGAACCCACGGCATCTATATCTGGTGGCACCAACTCGAGACGAACCAGCTTCACCACTGCATCCTCTATCTCTGCTCCCTCTATGCCCCCCTCTACACCTCGCGCTGCATACAATACCCCAAAGCAACCTCCCTTCGAGAAAAGATACCCTCCCCGTACAAAACAGCGGGAACCTGAGCCTGCGCCTCGACAGGAAATGGTGCCTTCCTACGATGAGCTCTATGGTTGATATGTCCCGAACAAACTATGTTCAACTAGAAGTCTATTGGTGGTAACTTTTCTCTTTTGGGCGTAACCAATCAATCTTGTTCGAATCAGTCTTGTTCGGAAGACCTGTGGTCGCCCGTTGGACTGGATTTGCCTCAATTTTATTTATTAATTTTGTTTATTTTGCATTATGGCGGTTTTATTTGCAATTTGAGTTATTTCATACAATTATTTGAACCGAATATCAATGAAATCTATGTTGTACATCTGTACCTTTTATGTCTATACCGAGTACAGAGTACGGGTATACTTGGATCTTTTCAAAATCCCGAGTCCCCTCTTCTCCCGGCCCTAGCAAGAGGGGGGATCCCTTGGCAGATCAAAACTTCAAATATTTTCTTTTTTGCTCTTTTTCCAGTCGAGGGATGCCGACACCCGTTTCCAACAAGCCCTGACCGGATTTTGCGACTTCACTCAGATGAGGGGGGGGGTGAACATGCGCCCGTCCGTGCATTATGCAGACGGTATCACAGTCACAACCACCACTCACCAATCAAGCCTCAGAGCCCATCACACTCTGTACTCCTGCAGCATATCCACTAGAAGCAGGATGACGGGGCGATCACTCCATCCCCACCAACCGTTCCTCGATTCCCCAGTCAGAGTGCAGTCACCAACCAGCCTGTAGATGGCGTTCTCTAAGCGCCGAGGACCAATGCTGGGAGCAAAAGAATGTGCTTGATTCGACCGGCGCATCCTTTCCGTTCCCTCGCCCAAGCATTAGTAGCTTTTCAGGTGCTTGGATTGTGCAGTACTTCCCTGTCCTGTGAGCTCTTTCGACTAAATCACTCCACCTAGTCGTCACATCCAAACGGAACTGAGCGAGAGCTGCTCGCAGTGAAAAAAAGAAGCTTTCCCGCCCCGAGAAAAAGAACTCACAATCCTAAGTTACATTTACCGTTTCTCATGCGAACGTGAGATCATTTTATCCGGCACTCTGCCTACTCTCATCCACCTCCTTGGCGGTCGCTGTAAGAACAGAAAAGCTGTTGAACTTTCTGTTCACTCCGGCTCATCATGCTCGGGCTAAGTGACGGAAGTTTAAGGTCCTCCAGGATGCTGGCTTTTGTCCTGGCTGCGATTTTGCTGCATAGCCCAGCTCCTGTGGTTTTCGGATTGAAAACCACACCGGGTTCGCCCTGTACAGATGTGTGTGGTACAACGGCCAACACTACATCTTCCGAGATTGCGTGTTTGGATCAATCATACAATCAATCCTCAGTAGGGAAAGGTTTCCAAAAATGTATCTCCTGCCAGTTGGACAGCAAGTTCAACGATGCGAACACTGGAGAGTCGGATGTGAACTGGGGACTCTGTATGTCGTACCACCTTCCAAAGATCGCAGATTGCGGTTTGTCGCTCCGATCTAACCAATTCAACCAGATAACCTGCGCTACGCTTTTTCGACCTGTGTGTTTGGATCTCCAGACTCAATCTCAAATGTCTCGTCACCGTGCCCAGTCGCATGCGATGGCGTGCGTGTAGCAGTCGAAACCAACATTGAAACCCCAGACACATCGAATTTGGACTCGTGGTGTGACGCCCCGTCGTTCGCAGATAATGTCGTCAACACCTGCGAGTTCTGCTACAATCTGACAACCACCCAGGTGTACATGGCAAACTGTACGTATGCCCTGCAATCCATTCCTGTGTGCATATGATATTAGCAAATCCAAAGAAAACCACAACTAACCATGCTCCAAATCCAGTCCTCGAGTCCATCCGCTACAACTGCCATTTCAAGACAGTAACGGGCAAGGCATTCGACATAGCCCCAACAAGAATCTTCACCCAATCCCTCCTCCCCTCAAGTCTCTCTCTCACAACGCCCGTTTCCAAAATCTCAAAATTGGACCTGGGAGTGGTGATCGCCGTGCCAATCGTAGGATTCCTAATCCTGGTCTCGTCGCTCGCGTTATGTTGCTTCTTCTTCATCCGGCACCGACGCAAGAAGACCCGTCGGAACCGCCACGCGGTTAACCCGTACAACCATTGGAACGGGGCATCGCTGACCAGCGCGCAGCAGCAGCAAGCCTGGGCCGAGCAACAGATGTATAACTCTGGCGGGTATGGACACGGGTCTGGGTTTGGCTTTGTTGATAATGATGGCCGTGGACAAGAGCTTGCGTATGGCCACCAGGACCAACATTATCAAAACCAACAGTACCAGCAGCACTTCCAGGGGCAGGATAAGTCGGGCTTTTCGCAGGATATTATTGAGGAATCTCCTCAGCAGCAGTACCAGCAGCAGCACCAGCAGCAGCATGGTCAGGTCCCTGCTCACACTCAGATCTTTGAGCCGGACCAAAAGGGTCAGCATGGTCAGGTACCTGTTCACCCTCAGACCTTTGATCCAGATCAAAAGAACCCCCAGCAGTGGCAGTGACTGTTGTGACAACTTGTACCTAGTTGTGTTTACCTTGTTGCTGTATAGCATTGATGAAATGTCTGTGGATAGCAGAGTCAGTTTGTGGCTTGGATGTAATGAGATCAGGATATCAGCTCACCTCATTGTTGACGGCGTTTGGGTTATTGTTTTACGGAGTTATTCTGCTCCATCGCGTCAATATATCCCCGACATCTTGCAATGTCTGCATATCTTTGGCGTATATAGTATAGTCAATAGCCAAATGGAGAAACAAGTGTTCAGCACCCAAAGATTCTCAGTAAAATACAACATAGTACTTAAAATAGAACAGTGAGAAGAAGACAGAAGACCAAAGAACAGCATCCAACATCACCAGAAAGGGCGGCAGGAGGACTTATGTATCAATCCTCACCCCTCTACGATCTAAATATACACACACACATACCACACAGATCCGAAAATAACATTGACAAGCCGCCCAGCAATGCCAACAACGGGACAAGCAAAACCTACGCAAGCCAAACTGTCAGATAATACGAGATCATCGGCTATAGAACCTCTGGGCGACGGGCTTTTATGGTCCAGCGTCGCTGCAGATTGGTCGGCCGTTCTGCAGGCGTTTCAGCACGCACCGCCAAGGGTCTAAGGGTCCAATGGGAGATGTGATGGCCGA